ATATATGGCTATATGGCTGCATATATTGCTATAAATGTCTGAAAATAGTTAATATGATTTATATGATATCAAAAAACTTTATATGATATTTTATTTTGAACTTTGATTATACGAGATATACATTGGTAGATCATTTAACTTAAAAATTATAATAATTTAAGATTAAAGTCTTCGTTTCTCTGAGGATAGAGTGGCCATCATTTAACTTTCAGTGATATGTGTGTATAAATGTATTGCTAATTGCTAATGAAAATAATAAAAAAAGTTGAAGCATACAAGGTGAAAAGGAAAGTATAAAAATATAAAGCAGGATTTAACAAATCTACAAATAGTTGGATAATTGGATAAACTTCATCAAATCTCTTATGGAGACCAAATATATTTTCAGAACCAATATATATATAATTTAATATGAAATAAAAAAAATCTATATGATGTTTTAATTTGAAGTTTGATTAGAAGAGACACGTTGGCAAATCATTTAACTTAAAAATCATATCAAATGCAAGATTAAATTTCTTTCTCTAAGAAGGATAGATTTGAGATCACTTAATAACTTCCAGTGTATCTGTTTTTATCTGGAGATATAGATATGTAGATAGATATAAATGTATTGCTAAAAGTAATAATAAAATCGAATCAGGTGAAAAGAAAGATACTACATAAAAGTGTTTTGTTTTTTTAATTTAATTTGTGTGTTTTTTTTAAGTCTTCATTCCGTCATTTGAGTGAATTTAAGGTTAATATTTCGATTTAAATAAATAAAAATATTTTTTGTCAAAAATCATACTAAAAACTTAAAAAATTGAAAATATAAAAATATAAGATTTAACACATCTATTAAGTTGGATAAATTTTATCAAATCTCTTATAGAGATCAAATATACTTTCGGAAACCAACGTATATAAAATCTAATTGGTTACACGTTATCTTCAAAATATTTTAATATGACTGTATAATAGAGATCAAACTGAAGATTTGATTAGGAAATCTGGATTTTATCAAATCTCTTGTTAAGATTTCAATCACTCAAAAAATAATTGCTTCGCCATTACGAATATACTGCTCCTATAAAAAGAGGACCAGGGGAGGCCAGAAGGAGCTACGTGAAGAAAATAGAGAGAGAGAGAGAGTCAAAGAATTGTCACATTAGAGAGTGAGCGATATTCGGTTGTGAAGGTAAGTCAATGTTCTTATCAATTAAATACTTGAACGCACAATTAATACTTCAAAAATTATGCCTTCTATTTGATCAAATTCGCGTAGAATTATTTTAGACTCTTTGGATTGGTTGTGAAATAAATAATTTTGCACGGCATATGATAAATATGTTTAAGAACTTTGATAACGCTAAATCCTAAACCTTAAACCTTAATATCTATTTTCTGTTCTTTTGTGCAATCATCGTCAAAGTTTAGTGCTTGCCTTGGTAATTAACTGACAGCCACACATGTTCATCGGACTTTTATTAAGCTATTCTCCGTAAAAAGATATGCTTAAGTCATTAATTTTATTAAAATTAAAAATTCTAAAATTATTAGCATTTAAAATAATGAATTACACGAGAAAATTTTTTTTAAGTTTTAATTAGAGACAATCAAAATCAGTAGACTTTTGTAACTGCAATTATCTTTTGGGATTATTTTGACAGTTTTTAAAAGGGAGAGTTACATCAAGTCTTAAGGAAGGAAAATAATTACTAAAGAGTCCAATAACAACCTAAACAGCTTCTATTGATAAGTTTCAGAGTAGAGAATAATAACTTTAAGGACTTGTTTTATAATTATTTTCCTTCCTTGAAATATCATTGTAATTCTCCGATCCTTTGATATCTTACCCAGTAAGGCCCTTTTCAAGCATTTGTTATTACATATTACATATTTTATAAAATGCATAATTCAGGTTATTATATAGAATTGGGAGCAAAAACAAATCCAATTTACATTAATATAATATAATATTTGGCTGCATAAAGATTATTTGGATGGGACATTATAAAGTTATAATGTTAGCATGCGGTCCACTGTATAATGATACTGGGTAAGATTAGTATGAATTGCTTAATATCATGTCATATCAACTAATTCCTATATCCCAATTTATTGCTGCAGAATGAATAATGCAAGAGTGGTAAGGAGGAGTGAGTTTCCTTCTTACAGGGAAACTCGTTTTGTGAGCAATGAAACTTCTTATCAATGCAGGATGCCGTCCACTTCTGGTAATAATAATGCTTATCGCTGCAAGAGGCAGTCCACTTACTCCCATAATAACAAAAAATGTGAAGCAGACGGCAAAAGGTCCTCTAAGCCCAAAGGCAATTCATCTCAAATTTGCAAATATTGGATCAATGGAAACTGCGTCCATGGTGATCACTGTTGGAACTTGCATTCTTGGTTTTATGGCGATGGCCTTTCTATCCTCACTAAGCTCCACCAACACAAGACGGTACCTACTTGACTTCCATTATTTGCCAATATCAGTACATATGCTTGATCTTGTTTCTTTGCCGGATCTTATTATGCAGTAACTTTTTGTTCGAGTAGATTTTATATCTAGGAATGAGTTCAATTCTCTTTTTAGTTGTTATATATATAAAGGATTGGTGGGGTAGCTTTTTGGTCAAGTACTAAACTTTGAATTATGATTACAGATTATGACTGGGATTACACTTCCAGTTGGATCGGACAAACTCTTTTCTTGTAGCACCGATAGGACACTTCGGGTATGGGACTGTCATACGGGTGAATGTGTTAATGTGATAAATCTGGGTGAAGAGGCAAGGTGTTTGATCAGTATGGGTTCATGGGTTTTTGCTGGTTTGAAGAATGCTGTTAAGGTAATTGAGCTCTTAAACTTCTTGATCATATGATGATTGTGTTTTTGTTTTGTCTTTCATCTTTTATATGATCATTAGGTTAATTAATCAGAAATTAAACTTGTACGTGGTTTTGGTTATTATATATGAAGGCATGGAACATTCAGACTGCTGCTGAGATCACTCTTGACGGACCTAAGGGTCCTGTACTTTCCATGGCTGTTTGCAACGACACAATTTTTACTGGAGCTATGGTACGTAATTGGTTTTACTAGGTTCTTTTCACTTCATTAATATTTGTTCTCTTCTCTCTTATTATAATCTCATACTACGTTTCCATGTCATAGGATGGTGTTATTTATGCATGGAGACTCACTTCTGAAGCAAATTTTCCATTTAAACCAGTAGCAACATTGAACGGCCACACCAGAGCTGTCGTTTCCTTAACTGGTGGACCTGGGTACAAGTTATATTCAGGTTCTGTGGATCATAGCATCAAGGTACATAGTTTTTTCAAGTTAGTAACTTTATTAATCTTCCTAAATTAGTCAACTGAAAGAGCAGAGTTAGTATGTTGTTGTTGAATTCATTTGAGAGGATTTAATGATTTCTTGTTTTTTTCAGGTTTGGGACCTCAACACATTACAATGTACCATGACGTTGAAAGGGCACAATGATGTAGTGACATCCCTTATTTTCTGGGACAAATACTTATTTTCAAGTTCTTTGGACGGCACAGTAAAGCTTTGGACTTCAACTGATCATGAACAATCAACTATGGCAGCAGTGTACACGCATCAAGAAGAAAGTGTGAGTTTTACTTCAATAAACAGTAGAGATTCATATGCATGTTATATTGTGAGAAATCATTCTAATGTATAGTTTTGGTGATATTATATTATAGGGTGTGGTTAGAATCACTGGCATGACTGATGCAAAAGGGAAACCCATACTGTTTTGCTCCTGCAGCAACCATTTAGTTAGCCTGTACGAAATGCCAACGTGAGTAGACTTCATGTTTCCATTTTTATTTTTGGTTTTAATATTGTATAAATATATATATATATATATATATATATCAGGCCTTGATAGGATCTGGGGTGTTTTTTTCTGGTCAGGTTTGCCGCAAGAGGAAGATTATTCTCAAAGCAAGAGATTAGAGTAATAGAAGAAGGCCCTGGTGGACTCTTTTTCACGGGAGACGGCACTGGTCTGCTCACTGTCTGGAAATGGCAAGCAGATGAATCGGAGCCTATGGCCACATCTTCATGATTCCTAATTTTTTTCCTTTATGTTTACCCTTAGAGTCTGTATATATTTTCCTTGTCTTGTACAAGATCTAAACAAGATGTTTCTTTCTGTTTCAAGTTTTGTTTGTATAACATTATGTAGATATATTCAATTCCAATTTCAGCTCAATCAACAACTCTGGTTGTGAAAATTGTATAGATTCATTCCCATTTGTATTCTATCATTTTAAAATTTGTTTGCAACTAAAATTAAATGGTAATTGTGAAACTAGAGATAAAGCTAACTGATTAAAATTAATTTGAAACACTTATGTACATGATGTCAGCAGTAATTCGAAAACAAATGTTTTCCCCTTGTGTGATGGATTGTAATGATATTGATATTAATTGGAAAAGTTTTTTAAAACATTGTACTGATTCTTGAAAAGGAATCAATATGCTAAATTTTGTTGCATATCTCATGAGGCCACAAATATTTCCTGAATTTTGGATCATGTACAGATAACTTGCGTATAAAAAAATAATCATCATAAAACACATCAAACAAGTTTACAATTACGGTAAAAACAACAGTAGTAGTAGTAATGTTGCTTTTGTGGAACTACGTATTTATCATATTTTGATTGAAAAATCTGAAAATAAAGACATAAGATAGTTCCTGGTCAAGAAAAAGATACAAGATAGTTCACTTGCAACTGCTGAACAAGATCCTCAAGAAACCTTTCTAAGTAGTCATCATTCAAGGAAAACCAACACTAATGTGAAACAAAGAATAAGAAACTCAAAATGAATAGTTATGATATACAAGGCTGCAGAAACATTTCAACAATCAACTTCACTCTAATATATATACATATATATATATTGATATTACAATGATTAGATCAGTCCATCAACTTGACAATTCCTCTATGATAACATCATACCCACCATAAAATCAGCAATAAGCACCTATGTTGCAATTAATGTCTCAAAACATAGGTAGAAACATCATGACACAGTTACACAAGACAAGCCATTTCAATTATTAAAGTTACATACAACAGGAGCTACTTTTTCAGCTGCCTATTACAGTACAAGATAACACAATTTAATTTTCTAATACACGTATAGTTCAGTTTAGATTCAGATCCCAAGGCTTTTTGTTAGTCACGAGCAATTTGTTTCATAACTTGCAAGTCCCAACAACTCCGGACCTTCCAACCGAGGGTTATTCTCAAAGCTGCAGAATTGAACCCCAAACAAAGAAGGATTTAGATTGACCCCTCTAGCGAATAGATAAGGAAGAAGAACAAACAGCTAATAGTGCTTTTAGTCCCTTAACATCACATAAGGTTTTATTTTGGTCCTTAATTTCATGCAATTCCTTTTCATTCGTCTAATCCTAATACTTTTAATAAAATATGCCGATCTTAAAATTTTAAATGTTAACAAAACATTCTCAAATACTGATATATTGAGCTTAAGTATTGGCACAAAAAATCATCAATTGAGTCTAATGATGGTAGGATTAAAGGACAAAAGATACTTTATAAAATTATGAGGCAAAAATAAAATTTTATATAAATTTTGACAATTAAAAGTACAGTTTTGCCATATACAGGAAGAAACTCAGGTTCCCATGCTTTCAGAATCAGTGTGCCAGGGGAGAAAAAAAGCAATGAAAGCAAACGAAAAGTTACAGAAACAAGAAGAACAATCTGATCGTCTCCACCAGAGCGCTATCATACAATTCATAGCTGGCTGCCAGCAAGGGACATGATATGTGGAAATTAATTATTCATGCAATATTGTTTTCCAGGTTAATTATTCATGTTACATTTATTCCAACTTCAGTAACATATTTGCGACTGAAGAAGGATACTTTCACTTGTCCAACATCAGTTTTTAATCTAATTATCTGATTTTCGATTAGCTGCAGCATGAAGACCAGGTTTAGCCATTGACAAATAGACATAAACCCATTTGCCTAAAACCATAAACGAGAATTCATAAATTGATTGGGAAAATTAGACAGGAAACACCAAGCGCACTAGCATAATCATGCATTTTATCACTGCACTATGCATATTACACAACATTCAGATATGAACTTCACGATTTATTAAGAGCCCTGCAGTTAGGATGTCTACAATGTGCAAACTGCAAAGGGTACATTTGGTGACTGAATACAGCAGGAAGTGTAAGGGTAAATTTGGGGCCTAAACAATTTCATATTTCGATTCTTTATTTTCCTTTGCAAACATTAGTTATTCAGAAAACGCATTTGTTTTATAAAGTGAAAATGGTATTCATCTTTTGTTTCTGAATCAACCAGACATAAATGCCATTAATACTACTTGACTTCTGATTTTGACAAGATTAGTTAATTTTCTTTAATTATTTTACATATATACCCATGCAAAATTACAAAAATGCCACCAGTTATTTTGTGTAAAAACTGAAAACATCTTTCACAAGTTTCCAATTTGCAGTTTCAGAGCATGGTTCTGCTGCTAACAGACAGGAAGCATATTAACAATCAAAAGCCAGGACATCCATAGCATCTGAAATTCTCAATCAACAATCTCAATGCTGAAGCAACACATTGCAATTTGCAACCAACAGACACTAATACAAAGCGACATGAATTGCTCCACTTCAAGAAAACAACGGCATTATAGTTAAGAATTAGAAGATAAATATATTTGGAAACGTACTTATTCAATGGAATATGCTCAAATGGCCCTGCCATAGGAATTGTTCCGCATAAATCATTGTTGGACACATCCCTGAAGAGAAAAGTTAGAGTGCATGGGTGTTACTTCAGAATACCACCATAAAATGGCACCATAAAGAAAACAATGACTTACAATACTTTAAGGCTTTTAACATCAGCAAGCTGCCTAGGGATTGGACCAGTTAACCGGTTGTCATTCAGCCGCCTGCAAAGAAAATATTGATTTAATTGAGAGCAGTGAAAGTAATACAACTATGGAGGAGAAGGAATTTTCAAACAACAAAAATCAAAACCAAAAACAAAGACTTTAGATCAAAAGAGCTCCCAATCCTTTAGCAAGTCCATTAATTACATTCTGCAAGATGAACTTAACAATACAACTATAGAACCCAAAAGCCAACGCAAGGTAGCTGGACTCCATCATACCTTCCACTTGAGCACAAAATTTTCTCGAGTCTGTCCCACATCACCTATTCTATTCTATCAAATAATTCTTCTAAGAACAATGAAAGATTTAATCATACTTACAGAAAGACAAGATTCTTCAGCTTCCCCAATGAAGGAGGAATGGTTCCTGATATGTTGTTGTTATACAAGTCCAAGCTAATAAGGTTCTTCAGGTTCCCAAGCTCCGGAGGAATTGTTCCTTGAATATTGTTTTTATAAAGCTCACTACATCAGTATGAGTAAAGTATTCTGGAGTCAACTTCATTTAATTCATAACAAAAGATAGTTAAAATTATAAAAAATGTGTTGATGATTTCTGCAAGGGCATTTCACATATTTGAAGTCAAAGCACCAATACAGAAGAGTAAGCGCAGATTTGAAGACATACAGATACTGTAGATGTTCTAGGTTCCCAAGTTCAGGTACCAAATATCCAGATAGGTTTGAGTTGCCAAGATCACTGCAGAAAATATTATAAGACCGTCAACAGAATCATCAACGAAGAGAGAAAATAAAGAAAGGTTTTAATCAACTAAATACGTTGTATTCCTCTTCCAATAAAAAAGATTATGAAACTGAACGAACGAGCAATCCATTGGCTACTTAAAATTGCATAGACAGCAACTCAATACACAAATGAATCAAAGGAGATTTTTGTCAACAATCCTAGACATGTTCTTGTTGCAAAGAAAAGGCGTAATGATTTGTTTCATTATACAAAGATCCTGAACATTTAACAGGGTAACACCACAGAGAACTTCGATAACTCGGAGAAAACACATGTTGATGTCGCCTCTTCAGGGCTTAACAAGATTGGATTACCCATAAGAACCTGCCCTTACTTGTCCAATTGTGCCGTCCACTTCCCCCACCCCCACACCCCAAAAGGAAGAGAAAGAAATAAAGCAGCAACTCCGTAGTGAATAGATATAGCAGAATTACATATAATTAAACATGATTCCCTGCACATAGCATGGAGTTTGAGAAATGTGTCATTATATTCATGCATAAATTTTATATATGATATAGTTGATGATGCTATATATGATATAGTTGATGATGCTTAGTTTCATGGTTTTATCTATAATAGACGGAACCCTTTTATTAAGTCAGACCACAAAAATCCAGCAATGTACACGATACCCCCCAGCAGGTGGAAGACAAGCTATAGAAAAGGATAAGGAAGAAGCAAGAAGATGCTGAGCCGGAACAAAATAGCTAATATGTCCCATCATGTCATATTGCAGAATAAGTTTGTTATGGATCTACTTTGATCAGGGCTGTGCGTGTTCCCATCATGTAGTAGAGGACGAAGGAAGATAGGGGACCGGTGAGGAATTTGGTGAGAGATTTCATTTGAAGTCCCTTCTATGACTCAACGAAGGAAGATTATCCATCGCATTTGTTTTCATCCCTGTCCTTCTCTATTTTTTCTGCCTCCATAACAACATTTCACGGTTGCTCCAGTCCATATATTCCTGATATACAAGTTATCAATCTTTGCCACGCTAGGCTATCAGCATAAGGTAATTCAATACAGAGACTGAAATAGAATTAAGTCCATAAATTCTTTGGTCAGGACAGAATATACCATTAACGTGCACTAAAATATACAAAATTTACAACAATCAATCAACAGACGTATTCTGCCCCGAAGAAAAAAGCAACTAATGAACAAATCTTAAGACAAACTGCTTATAATCATAGGAATGGTGCCCATTACTACCTTTTAAACATAAAAAGCCGAAATTCAGTTATTTCTATTGAAACAAACAACCAAAGAATGTATTCATATCCATCACAGAACAAAAGCACGGAAGAAAACGCGGGGAAAATGACAGGGGATAGATGCACATACACCCGAGTGACCTGGTTGTCCTGGTTGCAGGTGACATGGAACCAAGTACAAGGATTGACAAGGGTCGGATCCCAACTCTGGAGCACGTTATTCGGATCGTACAAGCTGCGGCGAAGGGTGTAGAGTGCGTCGCCTTCGGAGTTAGCACTGACGAGATTAATTACAGCTAAAAGTAGAGAAAAGCATAACAAAACCCAAAAGGAAAGGAAGGCAGGTGCTGCTTCCATCGCTGAAGTATCTGTGATCTGAATTGAACTGTACAACTGTTATTAGGGTTCGCTTTACGACTTCTGATTCAATAATAATGCTCCAAGAAGATGAAGAGAAGCTTCGAAAATGAGAACGTGGAAGACAAGATCCACTTTGGGAACATCATCACAAACAGTAAAACATGTTTTTCTTTTTAATTATTAGAGAAAGTGCTGGTAAACCAGATTCTCCATTCACACTTTGACAGATCTGTGGCTTAGGCCACTTTTCACTGAGTAGAAAGATTTGAAATCAAATTAAAATAAGAACGAGGATAAGAATAGAATGGAATCTTAGAAGGTAAAGTATGTTCGTGGTGTACTTTTTAAAGTCAATCCTTTGATTCATGCTCAATTATTTCCTACCGTTTTCGTCTCTACAAAGTCCAAAAGTACACAGATTAGTGATTTACCCAGGCTGTCAGCCTGAGAATGGCAAATTTTTTGTTTCCCGGTCCAATTCAGTGAGAACTGAGAAGCAGTGAAAGTAGAATTTGAATTTGTGCAAACCCTTTATGTATTGTTTGGTACGAGAAAAATATGGTGCTAGGGAAATAGAAAGCAGGGGAGTTAAAATAAATTTTAACGAGCTCTATTTAAAAATCTAAAAAAATAGGGTTTTGAAATTTTAATAAATAAAAGAAGTAATATAAAAAATAATAAAAATTAACTAAAAATTTTTAACTCCACTTTTTCAATTTTTTAAAATCAAGCTTATTAAAAAAATTTTAATCTCCTCCTCTCATTTTCCTTCACACCATACCAAACAGACCCTTAAGTACTCCTCAATTGGGATCCTATGCAATATTGAAAACTCCTAAGTGCTCTTTTTCTAAGCATTTTAATATATAACCTAATTAATTAATTTGAGTAGATTAAAAAATTAGTTAAATTAGTTAATATTATATATATTTTTAAACCACAAGCATCTTCATTATTTCCCTCTCTCCCTCTCCTACTTGACTATTACTAAGAGAATATTAATTGAGTTAATTTGAAAAAAATTTGATAAGCATATGAAATAGGTTTTACATATAAAGCTAACATTAATTTTCAAATTAGGTCTTATATTAAGTACTAAAAGAGTAGTTTCCAAGTTTAAAGCATACATTTACTCAACTGGTCAAAAAAAAAACAACATGCGTTTACTCTTTTAACATTAATACTTTTCGGGTGTGTTTGGTTGGAAGGGAGAAGAAGGGAGGGGAGGGAAAATGAGCCCCTCCCCTCATTTGGTTACAAATTTTGGAGGGGAGGGGAGCTAAAATGTCCCCTCCCCTCCCCTCCCTCCTCCCATTTTGGCTCCCCTCCAAATTGGGGGTTTTTGGAGGGGAGTCAAAATTTTGGACCATTATACTCTTATGGTTTTTTTAATATTCCACTTCTACTTATAAAATATATTATTATAATATTTATTTCAAATAAAAAATATATTATCCTAAGTAAAAAAAATAAAAATATATATACATTATTATAATTAAAAATATATTATAAAAATTATTTAAAAATAAAAAATTATAATATTATAAAATTAATTGTTTTTTATAAATATATTATTTATTAAATATATCTTAAAGCTGGAAAAAAAGATAGCCTAAAGAAAATAAAATTTCATTTTTCTTAAAGCATATAAAATTTGTTAATTTGATTATTTTAAATATATTATTATATTAATTCGAATAAAAAATTACTATACCAATTTTTTAATACACATATTAACATGATAAGACTGAATTTTTATTAAATTATATAATTTAAATTAAGATGTAAATTAATTTATATAATATATTAATAAAAAACATAAACTAATATGTAAGGGTAAAATGGTAAATTGATTATTATTATCCCTCCCCTCCCCTCCTTGAACCAAACAAGGAATCATTAAATACCCTCCCCTCCCCTCCTTTTTAATCAAACCAAACAAGGTGAAGATAAAACCCCCCTCCGCCCCTCCCCCCTCAAACCAAACAGGCCCTACATGTTCTGTCCGATCAACCCAATGGAGATGGAGGCTTATAAGATCAACAACAATAATAAGTCTCATATAAGAGAATTAAATATAAAAAGGTCCCTTAAAAATATCAAATTAATCTAAAGTCTAAGGGACATCATTGCAAAAAATTTTATTAATTTAATTACCAAGTTGCCTTTATCTTTTTTTTAAAGTATGCATTGACAACTGAAAAGTATAATCGTTAACAGTTTAAGGTGTAACGATTAACATATATCGCGGTAGATATTAACAACATATTTTCACAACGCATCACAAAAATGTAACCCATGAGCTGTTAATATCCGCTGTAATAGTTGTTAAGCATTACACCTTAAGTTGTTGATGACTACACTTTTAGTTGTTAATATGTACTTTAAAAAAAAGATAACGATAATTTGGTAATTAAATAAATAAAATTTCTTGTAAAGGTGTTTCTTGGACTTTAGATTAATTTGATAATTTCAAGGGAGCTTTTTGTATTTAATTCTCTTAAGCGGAATCTTATTGTAATTTCCAAAGCATTACTTACGTTGAGAATAGAAATAAAAAAAGAAGTAATTTTACGACATATTATAATGATAACATCATTATTTCACTATTATTTTTAAATGATATTCCAGTGTAAAAATTAAAATGATTGTGGAAAGATCTTAATCTTAATATCTTTGAAAGTAAAAATTTTACTTAATATGAGAATATAAATGGAAATAAATACGACAATGATGCGTTAAAAAAATTACTGAATTGATGCTGAAGAAGGGGTTCATAACTAAGGGAGTGTTTGGGTAAGATCAAAACCATAGTTTCAGAAGTGTTTTTATGGTATACGAAGTAAATATGTGGAGGTGTTTGCTTCGATTTGCGGAAAAATGTTTTTGAAAAGTAATTATTGGAGTATCCAAACACCTTCTAAATCTGGAATGTCGAATTTAAGAAAGAGAGAGCAAATAAAATGAAAGTAAAAGAAGTATTTGCTATAGTTTTATTACTGAAAAAATCCCAGAAAAATACCTTTTGAATCTCAAAATTTTAAGTTGGTCTTGTTTACTACATTTTACTAGCAATTGAGTACACTTAAAAAACAAATGACAATATATTTTTGTAGTAATTCCTGATTTGATATTCTGAAGTTCAAAAGGTATTTTTTTATATTTTTCTTTATTATTTAATTAACTATATTGATTTTTAATATATTATCAAAATAACTTTAATTATATTGTAGTTTTTTAATACACAACATTGTTCCTATCAAATCAAATCAGATATTGAGTCATGTGTAACATTTTATATATGTACGGAAATGTTGTCAGCATTTCATGGGAGAGGATTAACGAACACAAGACTAACATTTTTTTTTTGCAAGCATATGTACTCCTCCGGTCCTAATTATAAGACCCAATTGACTTATTTGAGGAGATTAAGGAAGTAAGTTAAGTTGGTTATTTATAATAAATAAGTGTTGTCATTCCTAAAATATCCTTGCTAATTAAGTATATTGGCTAAAACAATCATTATTAGAAGGATTATCTTGGAAAAAAATGCATAAATATAAGAGACAAAATGAATTGGGGTCTTATAATTAGGACCAAATAAAAAGTCAAATGGGGTCTTATAATAAGGACCGGAGGAGTATCTTTTTATTAAAGAAAATCATGTTCGAGGTATTTTCAAGTGTATATGTTATATCTTAATGCGAATGTGTGCTATGAAGTTGCAAGGACGCAGAAGAATCTTATCTGAGAGACATCTGAGGTGTATAGAAGGGTGTCTGTAGTGCGCTGGAGGTCAAGTGGTCACCGAAGAGGATTGGTGGTTTTGGCCTTAAGAGATATTAGAGATACGAATGATGCTCTCTACAGGAAGGTTGCTTGGAATGTGCTAGCAAAGCCTTGCAGCCTGTGCTTACAGGTATTGCGAAGGACGTGTAAAAGGGGGAATTACGTGATGGTTGAAGGGGGAATTACAACCAGTTCCATGAAATAATTACCGAAAGGTTTAAATAACAACCTCAATAGCTTACAATAATAAGTTCTATAATGAAAATGACAACTTCTGAGACTTGTTTTTTAATTGTTTTCCTTGTTTGGGACCTTATTGTAATTCTTCCATAGCTGAAGGCCTCACTCACATAGTCCAATTCTTTTTTTTTTTCCCCTTTGTTTTTCGAAAGGACTTATTAAGTGCTTCTTTGGAACTGTGATTTGATCCTTAAAAACGATTTTTACAATCATAATTTACAGAATACGAGATAAATATATAAAGAGAATTTTACGTCAACTTACATGAAAGTGTTTATAAATACTAAGCAAACGCAGATACAAATGAACCCTAAATTGTGATCGTGTGTGTTGACTATTATTTCATGGATGCTGGGGATAGAAGTAAGCTAAATTTCTCAAGGGATGTTTAGGAGGGTATATTTTTAGAGGTGATAACATATGTGCAAGGCGTGAGACGTAGGATGAGGGTCTGCTGCATTTTATTAATGGCATCGGAGGGAATGATTTTGGCACAATTTGAGCGGAGCAACAAGTGGGGATATGATTTGCTGCTACATGTTGGTGGATATAGCACTGGAGGAATACAATGTTGTCACCTCTTATTATTAATATAAAAGTTAAATAATTAATTTATAAATATTAAAAAGATTAATTAAGTTAATTATCTGTAATAAATAGATGTTTCCTAATATACCTCTATCAATGATATGTATTGGAATACCCTGTCATTAAAACTTTTTAATATGTGTAATTACTACAGAAATTATTTGGGAACAAAATAGATAAATATTAGAAATAAAATAAATTAGAGTATTATATTTAGAACAAAATTAAATATCTAATTAACTTTTATATTAAAAATTGGGGGTCCATCAATTTGAAAATCACTTCATACGTCTTGACAGACCCAAGCAGATAATTTTAAGGGATGTTTGGAAATTAAAGCACTTGGCTGCTATAACTCTGACGATAAGAATATGAGAAAGCGGTTGGTTCATATTAAATGGGGGCGGATTAGATGAGGTGTGCTTAATGATTTTAAGGGGTGAATCTTATAAGGCACACACTGACACACATAATATAAAATTTTAACAAATCACACTATTTACTTATAAATTATAAATAAAAATAACATGGCTCATTTTTCATAATCTTAGAAGATTATATTCATGATATGTTATAAGTTTTAAATTGATATTGAGATCTTAAATTGATATTGAAATTTATAACACGTAAAATTACATACAAATACTCTCTCAGGTCCTATTTATAAGTTTTAATTTTAGAAAAGAGTGTAATCCATTTTATAAGTTTCATTTTAAGTTTATTTTAGCATTTAATGTAATTTTTTCAACCTTGCCATTAATTATTTATTCTCTCTCATTTGTTATACTCTCTCTTATTATATTTTCTCATACATTCTTTTTCATCTTTTTTTATTTATTATAAGGATATATTTGAAAACAAAAATATATCTCTAATCTATTTATTATTTTAAACTAATTTAAATTAATCATTTGTTATTTATAAATTAATTATTTAAAATTTATAATAAGGGCTGGACATAGAAATACATTAGGATATTTTAATCTTTGACACTGTCTATGTAATATTTGATTAATAAATAATACGTAGATGATATGGATGCGGATATTGCGGGAAAAAATTAAAGTAGAAAGGAAATGATCTTTGTGGATCATGGTTGAATATTTTTAAAATTTGAAAAATCCCATTCCAACGAATTTGTTAAGGATGATGGCATGTGGGCCCCGCAGCCATTATAACCGTGCTCCGCCTTCCCGTGTTTCCCCCAGTTTTCACTTTTATCCTTAACTTTCCAGTTTTGTCCCTCACACGCGTCACCCCTCTGTAAAATGAAGTCACTACCTGGCAGGGACAATCTCATCAATTTCAGAATTGTGTCTATCCAAAATCGTCATACAATCTAAGCAGTTGAGACTGACGCGCGAACCGAGACGACACATGACGTAAAATCCTAAAAAGTCTTTTCCCACGTACCGATGGCCACTTCATTGAACGCATTTTTCGCCTTTGAATTAAAAAATAAATAGTTTAAATGTAATCTTGTATAAAATATTATTATAATACATTTTTTGTCAAAAAATAGTATTTAAAATTTATGTAGTAATTTGTAAAATATTTATTATATTGAGCAATCCTTTTTTTTTTTAATTTCAAATAGAGAAAGAAAGAGCGGATTTTGAGAAGATCTAAAATCCATTTGCTCAACTTCCTGACGGATCTCGTCGTCCGTTAATGCACTCCCCTTCGTCCATCAACGGTCGTGATCACTTAACTGGACGCACCGCAGGCAGTTTCACTTCAGAGCATTACTTCGTCATTTGACAGAGTCCTTGCGGTGCCATGAGATCACTCACTTTCTCTCTCACTCTCTAGTATAGTTTCCACTTTCTTGTTCTCCGAATTCATTCTCTGGGTTCGAGTCTTTTAGGGTTTTGTCTAGCGTCTCTCCTCGCCTTTGCCGTGACTGGTAAGGTTAGAATTTTTTTTAGCTGTTCATGGCACTTCATGGTGTATGGCACTGTTCTTGTCTAGTTTTTCCGAAAATGTGTTTGCTTCGTTTCTCATTTTTGGCCTTCTGACTGTGAAATGATGCAATGCGGGTTTTTTTTTGTCCTGAAATATTTTGGTTGCTTTAGGTTTAGCATGGGAGGATCATATTTTTCCTCCTCTCTGCCTGGAAAAATATTACCTGCATTGTTGTGTTGCTGGAAAAGAAATTCATTCGAGTATTTAGTGTCTTTTGTTTATATTTTCCTTGAAATCTCCGGTCTTCTCGTTATTTGTTTCTGCAGAAATTTGGAAGCTTTGCTTGTGGTAAAGTTTCGTGGTTCCTCCTCTTATCTTGAGCCTGGTTTTTTCCCTGAAAGGTTCCGTCTTTCTGACATTTTTTGGTCAACGTTGTTTGGAATGGGTTGTAATCTGTAATTTTTATGACAATCGGGTGTTCAAACGTTGCAACTGGGTATTTTCTTTGCGTCCTTTGCATGTATGTTACCTGAGTTCTTTCGCATGTGAATGTTACTTTGTCGGAAGTGTTTTACACGATTTTTCCATCCTTTGGATTTCCTGGTATCCTGCTTTCTCAAAGTACTTATTTTATTCTATAAATTTGAGATATTGCAGCAAATTAGTGTTTTTGAATGATGACTGAATATCATAGCACAAAACAAAAGTACAAACCCAGCGAACAAGCGCTACTCTCCTTCATCACCGTCCGCCTCAAAATCAAGAGTTTAAAATCAAGAGTTTAAGGAATGGCTGCATAATGGATCGTTGATCTTAATTTCATGTCACTGCTTTAGCTTTGTAGTGTTTTGCTGATATTCTTAGCTCAAATTTGATGTGTATGTTGGAAAAGATTAAGGGACAGTCTGGTGCATGAAGCTCCGGCTGTGTGCGGAGTTTAGGGAGGTTTGTACCCTCTTTGGGTTTATTGTACGCAGTCCAATCATGCATTTTTTTCAAGAGGCTGTTTTTGCTACTCAAATCGGTGACCATGTTGTTACAATGTGACAACTTTGCTGCTATGTGAAGGCTGCCCCTCACATGATGGGAAAAGATAATGTGATTTAAAAAGTGATTTTATCGATGAAAAATGATCATTGTGTCTTCAGTTTATAGGGCAATGATGACAAGGTTATAACTAACATTACGAAAGAAAAATTGCTTCATTTCTACCTTCTTCTTGGCAGGTCAATCAGGCCCTTTTGACCACCTTTAAGTTTATGGCAATGTCAAATTTTATAATTTCTTGTACTCTTGAACTTCTTCTACTGTAATGATCATGTTGGGACAATGTAACGTCAACAAATTATATTGCTAGGATGGATTCATTTGAGCCAAATGGAAACGGGAATGATGACAGTTTGCCGCCACCACCACCTCCGCCTCCTGAAGTGCCACCAAATATTGTTCCAGTGAAAGTAGAAGAGCTGCCTCCTGAACCAGCTAAGAAGCCTTCTCGAGTTCCAATAGCTAGACGGGGCTTGGGATCCAAAGGAAGTAAACTGCAACTTCTCACCAATCACTTCAAAGTTGATGTCAACAACAAGGATGGGCATTTCTTTCATTACAGTGTAAGACCGTTGTTTTATAATTTTTTCCCTTCAGAAATTTTCTAAGGTTATCTGTGCAGAATTGACTAATTCACTTTGGATCTGAACAGGTAGCCCTTTTCTATGAAGATGGACGACCTGTGGAAGGTAAGGGTGTGGGAAGAAAGTTAATTGATAGAGTACAGGAGACTTACGCATCTGAGCTAGCGGGAAAAGACTTTGCCTATGATGGTGAGAAGAGTTTGTTTACTGTTGGATCTCTTCCTCGAAACAAACTTGAGTTTACGGTTGTTCTAGAGGATGTCATATCAAACAGGTTGATTTTCCTTTCTTTGGGTTTTGATTTTGTAGTTTGTTTCATATTATTTATTAATATGACTTGGTTTCTTGCCTCTGCAGAAATAATGGAAATTGCAGCCCTGATGGTCATGGAAGTCCAAATGAGGGTGACAGGAAGAGGATTCGGCGACCGAATCGTGCAAAAACATTTAAAGTGGAGATCAGCTTTGCTGCAAAGATTCCGATGCAGGCCATTGCCAACGCATTACGTGGGCAGGAGACTGAGAATTTTCAAGAAGCCATAAGAGTTCTTGATATTATATTGAGGCAAAATGCTGCTAAGAAGTAAGTTTTGTCCCTTGTTCTCTATAAATTATAACTTAGACATCTCAATGTGAGGATATATTGCTGCACTAAATTGCTAAACATTACCTGCACTCGAACTTTTGCAGAGGCTGTCTACTTGTTCGGCAATCCTTCTTCCACAATGATCCAATGAATTTTGCTGATGTGGGCGGTGGTGTTCTGGGCTGCCGGGGATTTCATTCAAGTTTTAGGACTACACAGAGTGGCTTATCCCTCAACATCGGTATGATCTCTCCTTACCTATATACCTTGCTTCTCATTTCAATGTTTTGTGTGGATTTATCCTTCCATTTTTTGTACTAAGATGTATCAACTACGATGATAATACAACCTGGGCCTGTGGTGGACTTCTTAATTGCCAACCAAAACGTGAGACATCCTTCTTCCCTTGACTGGGCCAAGGTAATTATATTTTCTGAATATTTCTTCATTTTTGTTTAATCTTTCTGTCCTAGTTGTTTAAATTGTACAATTCGAATTCAAAATGGAGAATATGATTCTAATAAATAAGACGCAGATGAGGGCTTCAAATAGCATGGTGACTGCAACTGGGGCTTGAATTTTTGGAATTGTGCAAGTCGTTCTCATATCATTTATGATGGTTTATGATTAAAAATTAATTTCTCAACATGTGATTTAGATTTGCATTGTGATTGCTAAGCTTTCCATATTCAAGTTTCAGAAATTTTATTTGTTCCTTAAACAGGCTAGAAAGACTCTGAAGAATTTGAGGATTACAACGACCCCATCTAATCAAGAGTACAAGATATGTGGGCTCAGTGAACTCCCATGTCGTCAACAGACGTATTTCACTAACTCTTAAATTACCTTGAGGATGATTAATTTAATTTGTTGTATGTGTTGTGTCGTAATGTTATTGTGGCATCTTACACTGGTTTATGTGTCTAATGAAGTGTGGTTGTTGTAGGTTTACTCTCAAGAGTAAGGGTGGTGATGATAGTGCAGCAGAGGAAATAACTGTTCTTGATTATTTTGAAAATTATCGCAAGATACATCTTAAGTACTCCGCTGATATGCCTTGCGTTAATGTTGGGAAACCAAAACGCCCAACTTATATTCCCATTGAGGTGAATTCCAGGATCTCCACTGAAAATGTTGACTGTAAAAGCAACTGGTTCATCTTAACTTTGTTTTATTGTTGGCTGAATACTTTTGTTGTGTTCATAGCTTTGCTCTTTGGTATCCCTGCAACGTTATACAAAGGCACTTACTACACTGCAAAGGGCATCATTGGTTGAAAAGTCTCGGCAGAAGCCACAAGAGAGGATGAAGGTTTTGTCTGATGTGAGTCTCTGCAAAATTATGATTTAAATAATTCATGGTTCAGGGTTTCTACCAAAAAACATAAAATTCATGGTTCTGGCTGTTTTACTGTTTTTCTATGCAGGTTTTAAAAGTCAGCAAGTATGATTCTGATCCTATGCTACATAATTGTGCAATTCGAATAAATACTGGTTTTACACAAGTGGATGGCCGTGTCCTCCCAGCTCCAAGGGTATTTATTTTAGTTGTTCATTTATTTTAAATTTTTAACTTGTATATATATATATATTATGCTTTTACTTTTGAAGCAATCTAGCCCTCCTAACTTGGGCAAAATTTTGAAAAAAGATGTCACACTTTGATGAAACAGCAAAACAATGGTAAAATCTTGTTTTACTTGTTTATGGGATACTGATGATTGCCTTTAGCTGAATTGCCAATAATGTTATTGTTATGTGCAATGCATTTGAAATGATTTTTGTTGCATCTTCCGTAGTTGAAGTTTGGCAATGGAGAAGAGTTCAATCCAAGAAATGGGAGGTGGAATTTTAACAATAAGGTTTGTCTTTCCTATCTGGATTAACTTTCTATGGTTTATCAATAATTAGGAAGAAATAAGAGGGACTGGGATAATCTGAGTCCTTAAGATCTAACTATTTAAGAGCTTCTGCAGAAATTTGTGCAGCCAACAAAGATAGAGCGATGGGCTGTGGCAAACTTTTCTGCACGTTGTGATGTGCAATCTCTTGTTCGGGATCTGACTAGATGTGCACAAGCGAAAGGAATTGTAAGTTCCATAAATGAATGTAATTTGCAAGAAGATGAAGGAGATAATGACATGTTTGTGCTTTGCTTTTGGCAGCAAATAGATCCCCCATTTGATGTATTTGAGGAAAGTCCGCAGTTTAGGCGTGCCCCACCTATGGTTAGAGTGGATAAGATGTTTGAAGAGATACAGTCGAAACTTCCTGGAGCACCTCAGTTCCTTCTCTGTCTTCTTCCGGAGCGGAAAAATTGTGATATATATGGTTGGCTTTATGTCATTTCGTCTCATATTAAAGAATGTTGTTATCTAATTAATGAAATTAATGAAAACTATTTAAATCTTCCAGGCCCCTGGAAAAAGAAGAATCTTGCTGACTTTGGAATTGTTAATCAGTGCATGTGTCCGCAAAGGGTCAATGATCAATATCTGACCAATGTGTTGCTGAAAATCAATGCTAAGGTAATTACATCATGCTTTCGATGGTTTTCATAGAGGCATTCCTTTCAATGCTGGAAATTATGTGATTGGCATTTTTGGCCAGGTTAATTTGACATCAAGCATGTTTTTCCCCTTTTTTTTTTTTTTTTTTTGGTTGATTTCACTCTCTTGCAGCTAGGTGGGATGAATTCATTTTTATCTGTTGAAAAATCTCCTACTCTGCCCATTGTTTCCAAAGTTCCTACCATTATCCTTGGGATGGACGTGTCCCATGGCTCACCTGGGCAGACGGATATTCCTTCCATTGCAGCGGTAATGATAATTTATCTTGGGTGATTAGTTGTGAATAGAATAATGCCAATATCACATAGAATAAAACCAACATCACATCCATTGATATGGCAAGGCACTAACTTTTATTCAGTGGCCTTATGATTGATTGCCTTTGTGGTTGTTATTAAATTTGCAGGTGGTGAGCTCCCGACAGTGGCCTTTGATCTCGAAGTATAGGGCCTGTGTTCGAACCCAGTCTCCAAAGGTTGAAATGATTGATAATCTGTTCAAGCCAGTAGGTGAAAAGGAAGATGAGGGCATTATCAGGTTGATTTTGAATAGCAATTAGCTTTATGCTTTTAAATCAGAACACTTCCTCTCTACTTTTGTTATGTAACCATGATAATAAAAGGAGAATGAGTGAGAGTTTGTTAGGTAGTTAAAAGATTAGGCTTTTGGAATAATGAATTGAATTGAGCTGAATCTCTCGTCTTCCTCTCTATTTTTCTCTCCTCTCCTCTTCCTCTGTCCCTCCATGTTCTCTCTCTTTCCCATCTTTATTCTATAATGGTTTTCCCCTACCATTGTGTTATTTCTTCCTGTCTTATAATAATGTAGAATATGTTATGCACTCTGGTTTTAGAAAATTGTCATGCTGATGGATTTTAAAATTTGCAGGGAACTTCTTGTTGATTTCTATCAAAGTTCTGGTAATAGGAAGCCTGAAAACATAATCATATTCAGGCATGTCTTCTATGAAAACGCTTATTTGTTGATTTAGTTATATTCTCTAAATTATATTTGCTTATTTTCTTTTTCTTGGTTGAGTGTTGATTATAATCTTGACTATAGCCTTGATTTCCTACTACTGTTATGAACTATGCTCTAATTTTTCTTTGTATTGGTGATGTGCTCTGTTAATTATTGTGTTTAATATAAAAATTGATGATTTCTTTGGTGATAATCTTCTCAAAATTTGCATCATTTTTGTGCTAATTGTTATATGCTTTTGGTCTTGTTGCTTGCTTGACTTTATTCTCGCTTTTTTTATCTTGTGAATGTAGGGATGGGGTTAGTGAATCACAGTTCACTCAAGTTTTAAACATCGAGCTTAATCAAATCATTGAGGTTATTGATCAAGTCATCAATCAATTATGTTATATTTAAATTTGATCATTTTTATAATATGGGCTGATGTATTATTTTTTATTTTTTTAGGCCTGTAAATTCCTTGATGAAAAGTGGGACCCCAAATTTGTGGTGATTGTTGCTCAGAAAAATCACCACACAAAATTTTTCCAGAATGGGTCTCCTGATAATGTCCCCCCTGGTATGCAAGGGGTGCTTATACTAGCATTTACCTTTGTTTTAAAGCATTTTTAGGAAGTTTCTCAAAGAATCTCCGATTTCATTACTTGATCTTTTGCTCTTCATTAACATTTGGGTTTATGTGTTCTCATTAGTTCTTTCTTATCAACCATTTCTTTTAAAGCTCATTATGTCATGCTTTATGCTAATCTATTTCTTTTATAATACTTGGTAGGAACTATTATTGACAACAAAATTTGTCATCCCCGAAATTATGATTTCTACTTATGTGCACATGCTGGAATGATCGTGAGTATGCTGCTACTTGTTTCTTGCAATTTGCATGCATGCATTGTTGTTGCTTGAAATCATACGTGTATCCACTTCTGCCATTTACATTACCAATCTAAGGTGTTTCCTTGAATATTACTTGGATATCATGTCTTTTCATTTGCGAACAATCGGTTAGATTTCACTTGTGCTTCTGCCTACCTGCAATTATTTTTACTTTTGCTCCTTTACTCGATGTTTGGTATGAGGGAAATGGAGGGGAAGGGAGGGGAGGAAAACTTTTAAGGGGTTTGCTTTGAAAATTTGGAAAAGGGGGGTTGTGAAATTTTAATAAAGATAGAAAATAAGAGGAAGAAAAATTAGTTACAAGCTTTTAACCCCATTTCATTTTTCAAAACAAACCTATTAAAATTTTCCCTCCCTTCCTTTTCCCTCATACCAAACAGTGTTATAGTCACAGGAAAATCTTGCCAGCAGTATCTGTTATTAGTCCATGTCTCAACTGGGATTCATGCTTGTGTTCATCTTCTATTGTTCAAGCATGATGGCCAGCGCATTAGGGATGGAAGTAGGCTAGGGGCCTATGGCCTGGCCTATTTTGAGCCTGGCCTGATCTGTTTAATAAATAGGCTAAGGCCAGGCTCAGGCCTATTTATAAGCCTTTTTTTAAGTAAATAGGCCAGGCCTCTTTACTTAAACCTGGCTTACAAGCCTGCAGGCCTGACCTTTTTTTTTTCTTATTAAAATTTTTTATATCATTATATACAAACAGCACTGCCTGTTTCAAGATATCTGCCCTCATTCCTATGCCTAGTGAGTTTGCTTCTTATTCTCACGGATCTAGCATTAGAGTGATTATTATATTTGGCTTCTACACTCAATTCTTTTCCTTTTCTCCGTGATTTTGATTCACAATTGAATAAAAGTTCTGAGTAAAACTTGAAACTAGGTAGAAGTCGACTTGAGAGGACTGGCTGTTTGGTTGGTGCAATATTGTCTGTAAGAACTTGTATTGATATGGAGCTTTTAATTTTGCCTCAAATTCCTACAGGGAACCACTAGGCCGACACATTACCATGTTCTGTTAGATGAGATTGGTTTCTCTGCAGATGATCTACAAGAATTGGTGCATTCTCTTTCATACGTGTAAGTAGAAATTTAGCCTTATTGATTGCTCACTTGAGTCAAGTTTCAAGCGTAATGATGAATTTGATCGTTTGTGCTGGAATGACAGTTATCAGCGGAGCACCACTGCCATATCTGTCGGTGAGTTCTGATGGTCTTGGACTTTCCTCCATTTTCACTCTTATTTTGAAGCTTTCTTGATAGTAGTTTGTAATCGGAATTTGTTAATTTACAAGTCAAATATCTTGATAAGTGTATCTATTACTGTCGTTAGTGTCTGATCAGTCTGTTGTTTGCTCAAATTCAGTGAAAAGAAAATAAAAGACATTTGAAGATGGGTTTGGCAGTATGGTATTTGTGACTTACTGAAGTATGGTTTTGTTCAGAGCCCCATTTTTTTTGTTTTACAACTTGAAAATATAAATTGATTTCCTTTTAAAAGAAATTAATATCTGATTTGTTTTCATAGAAGTTCCAATTTCATGCTTCTTCTACAACTGAGATAGAATTTTATGGTCTTCAAATAAAATTTGGCTTCTTGGATAATCTCGTATAAAAGCTTAAAAAGCACTTTTACTTTGGGCCTATGAGCTGAAGATTTTGGCATTTCTCTTCCGGTATTCATAAAACACATCAGTGCTTTAATTTTGCTTTGATGCCATTTTCATGTGTTTGTGTTTCAGTTGCTCCTGTCTGTTATGCACACCTGGCAGCAACTCAGCTGGGGCAGTTCATGAAATTTGAGGACAAGTCTGAGACTTCGTCGAGCCATGGTGGCCAGTCTTCTGCCTCTGGTGGCACTGTTCCTCAGTTGCCGCCATTGCAGGAAAATGTCTGCAATTCCATGTTCTTCTGTTGAGGCTCATGAGCTCCAGCTTTTAGCCTCTCCTGCTATCTAATATATAGAAGTTTGTGCATATACATTGCACAACTTCGTTTTTAATTATGGAAACTGTTGGACTTGTGGTAGACTGAACCGAACCTTTTCATGTGCTTTTGGAACATCCTATGCTTAGTGTAGGTTTGGTATTTATGACTGGCCTAGGATTTGACCTTTGGCTTCTTTTGATGTGTTGGTATGTATGAGAAGCCCCGGCATGTGGTTTGCTTATGTTTATATCTAGTGGACATATTTAGATGCTACCTGTCGTTTAGGTTGTGAATAGTCTGACAATTTAGCTTCATCAATGCTTATGAAAATGTTACTGGTCATTGAAGCGCTCAATTGTGTTTTGAGGTTCATCGGTTTGTTTTCAAAATATGTTTTCGTCAGTTTGACTGGTTTTTTTAATGGTTTTCTTTCTGATGGATTTTTGAAATTCTTTTATTTTCTTGACTTGTGAATAATGATTTTAGGATTTTGCGCACTAAAATTTTTGCTTAATGATACATTATTCAAATATCATTTTTCCTCAATTGCATGAATCTTTTTGTAGTTTTGACATTGCAATAACGCATTAATAGTATGATGAGAATATAAATTCTTCAAGTTACGAACTTCCATCTAGTATCTTAAAAAAATTTTAGTTAGTATTCAGTATCTTGTACGAGTTACTAAAACGTATTTCAGCTTTGATGAATAAAAAATTATTCTAGTACATTGAGTATTATGAAAAATTATGTTAGATGTGAAACTCTGGTAGAATGAATATAATAAATCCGAGACCCATGACCATAAAAGGGGCCACAAACAACATATGGTATTTCAAAATAAAAATCACTACGGGGTTTTAAGAAAGAAATGTGATACAAAAAAGGTTATACAATAAGTAAGCAATATACAATGATATGTATTGGTGCAAGAAATAACACAAGGAAAAAAAAAAAAAGGTGCAATAGGTTTTTAATGTTAATTTGTTGTGAGATTTTTTTAGTGATTATATTTTGTGAGAGACCTCGTCGTTCTTTTTCTTAGTTCAATATGTAAATGGAAATATGTTCATCCTCTCTCATGGAGTACGTATTTGTTTTCCTTTCCAAAAAAGCACATTATTGTCTTCTCTCTGTTATGGGTTCCATAATGTTTTGAAATGAATAGAAAGAATTTATAAATTTAGTCGGGTTGGTAAGAAATTTGACTTATAAAATCTTAGTTCAAATACCGCTCTGAATGTTTTGTTTTGTTTTTTTGTTTTTGGTTAAAGTATAAGTATTCTTTTATTGGAGGCGATCTTATTCGAGACATTGTCAGATACTAAATACAGACATCCCTCCTATCGGGGATTCGAATCTTGGTTCATCGTGTTTTGAGGGGCTAGCCTCTTCTGCTAGATCTAACTTTGTTGGTTTTTTTTTTTGGTTAAAGTATAAGTATTCTTTTATTGGAGGCGATCTTATTCGAGACATTGTCAGATACTAAATACAGACATCCCTCCTATCGGGGATTCGAATCTTGGTTCATCGTGTTTTGAGGGGCTGGCCTCTTCTGCTAGATCTAACTTTGTTGGTTTTTTTTTTTGGTAACACTAATTGTACTTTTATAATGCCTTCTAAGTTGGGGCAGTTGGGGCTGACTTTGGAAAGCCCATAGTCCAACTCACCCAAACTTTTAAAATTTCAAAAAAAAAAAAGAATAAAAAAGAAAGCACAAGAAAGCTTGGACCTCGTAGCCGTTCCAGCGCCAGCAGAGGAGGCAGCTTTGAATGCATCTGAAAGCTTGGACCTCATAGCAGTTAAAGCTCGAGCAGAGAAGCAAGTTATGAGAGCTTTTGAGAGCTTGGACCTCATCGCTGTTCATCTCTTCATTTCGTCGCCGGTGTGCTAGTGCTCGTGCGTCTTCCTCCTGGGCCTAGTTTCTTCTTCTGCCCTGCTTGGCACCGTTGCTGGGATTCTTTCTTGTCCTCCGATCTCCTTGCCATCGTCACTGTGTGGAGGCGTGTTCCATCTTGCTTCCTTTTTCGTTTCTGTCAAGATGATGAAGAGTGAGTGGCTGAACTTCTTCTTCATAGCAGAGTCTTCATTTTCTTCTTCCCATGTTCGCTGCGGCTGCTACGCATGATCGTAGGGGTCGTCTTGGCTATGTATGAATAGCTTCTTCTTCTTCTTCTTCTGATTTCATGTATGCTTCAGTTTTTAATGTGTGCAGAATGATGCCTGTTCTTCTTTGTTGTGTCGTGTGTTGATTGGAAAATGGTGATTGTTCCTCTAACAGGTGATTTGGTTTGAGTTGTGTTAAGTTTGGTAATTAAATAGGATTGGATTTACATTTATAATGTATGCAGTCTGGGGCTGTGATTTTAAGAAGAGTGTTCTTGGAGCTTGTCAAAGTGAATGCACATTGAGTGTTAATCAAAGTTTTTGCTTTATGAATTAATCTTGAATGTCCACTAGGTGTTCAGTGAAATGTTCGAAAGATAAGATACTTATTTGGGAATGTGTTTGTATGATATATTGATGGTAGAGATGAATTTAGATTCTATTTTGGATTGACTATGATTTAAATCTTGCTTGTTAATAGTTTTATAACTTGTAATGACGTTGGGGAGAGTCTTGTTGGGAAATTTCAATGATTAAGTTTGCTTGTTCTTGGTGTTAGTCTTTGGGATGCCTATGAGGTGTTGATTGTATTTGCTGGATTGTTAGAAATTGATGATAAATGATTTAAAAAAACAACCATGATGTTGCTCGAGTTAAAGTGATATATACACGCATATAACAGGTGTTGGCGCTATTATGTCAAGTGACTCATGAAGCTTCAGATTTTGTTGGTGATTGTAAAATCTAAGAAAAAGATTATTATGGAGAATAAAAAGAATACCATTAAATAAGACGCTATGGATATTTTATTAATTGCAGTAATAATGATCTTTGCTATGAACCCTTGATGCTTATTATATTGTTTTATTTTTAAAATGATTAATAGATTTGGCGGCTAGGTTCCCATTATTCCCTTCCTGCATCTTTCTGGAGTGCACGCTTCCACCTTTATTTCTCTGCCAGTGTCCTCTTCTTCATTCTGATCACCCTCTGACGCAGTTCCATGACAATGGCTACACAGTACAGCATCGAGTTTGCCGTCCATCTTATCACCAATCATTTTGGCAACCTCGTCACTGTAATTACCTTCTCAACCCTCAGCATCTCCTTGGTTAGTTTTTCTCAATTTCGTTTTAACGCTGTATGTTTGTGCAGAAAGTATGTGAATGCCTTCTTAGGAGGGGACCCCTCACTTTGGAGCAATTGGTTCGGCTCACAGAGCTTACCAAGGAGCAAGTCAAGAACTCCCTACTTGTGTTAGTCCAGCACAACTGTGTTCAAGCATTTATTCTTGAACAAGAAGGTATATAACCATTTTGTTTGTACTTTGCACAAATTATTGCTTCTAGTTCTCTGTTTCCGATTAAAATGTTTGGAGGGACAGTGCGCTTTGAAGCAGTTTATGACCGGTTGGAAGCTTCCTTTGTCTGTGTTGTGAAGATGGTATTTTCTTACTGATTATTGTGGGTTTGATTAAGGCTCAGCTATTTTCATAATAGAATCAAAAACAAATTGAAATTTCAAATGAGAATTTCGAGGTTGAGCATGTAAATGAGTATCATTTATATCAACCAGAAAGCCAGTCTGAATCTTCCCAGCGCATAGATTAGAACTTTTCCTTCTATATTAATCATTTTAGGCAGTTCAGGGATGTGCAACAACAAAGCAGGTGACAATAATCAAGACTATGATTGATGAGTATCCAAAATGTGCTTATATGTTAGAACCAAACGTTGCATGTTTTGTTAAATTATAGATTATGGAATTACAATCTATTGTGTCTTTGTTTATTTATTTAGTGATGATTTATGTCATTAATACATGTATTATCGAATGTTGGTTTCATGTTAGTGTGTTATTTGTTTTTTTGCCTTAAAAGTTAATAACGTTTCTTTATGTTGATGCCCTGACTAATAATAAATGTAGGTCGCGAAGGATCAAGAGTTAATACACAGTACTTGGCACTATTTGATAACATACTCCATCGGTTGAGATTTCCCAAATTCTTGGAGATGGTATCGCAGGATCTTGATGAAGAAGTTAGTTTCATCATGACCCTTATGTTTCTTGGATTTTCAATTTAGTTTAAGCTTTGAATGCTAAGTATATTGGTGATTGGTATTGCAGTGCGTTGAGCTTCTTGAGGGGTTGCTTCATAATGGTAGGCTAACACTGAAACAGATGGTTGACAGAGCAAGCCAAAGAAAAGGTTACTCTTCCACGACACACGTGCTTTGTTGATTATTATCTGGCTTATATTTAAATGAAAAATGGAAACCCTAATGTGAGGGATTTTTCCTTTCTCCAGTTGGATTTATCTATTTACTGTTATTGTATTTTTGACCCATTACTCCATTTAACAATGTTCTTTTGCTAGATGCACTCATAAATCACGATTGATTGACAAACAACTAATCTTTAGTCTCTTTCTTAGTCTTACAGCAAATATCACGTACAAGAGTCATGTAGCATAATTAATAGGCCCCTAATTTGTCTGTTCTGGTTGCACACGTGTTCTTCTCTAAGTGATAGTTGTATTAATGATGAAAAATGAAATTTTGTGGCATAACAGTTGGTTAATTCTCGTGGTACAATTTGTTTAGTAAGTAAAACAAGATATAGCTTCTAAGGTAGAATTTTCATTAGGTGGGTTTCCATCAAACATGGGAAGATTATAGTTTAAATTGGTCTTTTACGTGTCAAAACCAATATAGTCAATTCAGTTTAACTTGTTGTGGTGGTATTGTTTTTTCCCCTTGCACCAACTTTTATTACTCTAATACAAGCAGAGTGGTTAAAGGAAAATTCTATTAGACTGCAATAAGACTAGCTGTGTTATATGGTAGTGAATGTTGTGCTCTAAAAGGAAAACAAGAGTATAAAGTTGGGGTAGCAAAAATGAAGATGTTGAGATAGATGTATAGTCATACAAGAAAAGATAGGATTCGAATTGAAAATACAAGACTGTTATAAGACTAGCCGTGTTATGTGGCGCCTATCGAAGAGAAAATGGTTAAACATCTTTTGAAGTGGTTTGAACATGTACAGAGAATGCTATGAGAGGCATCGATGAGAAGGGTACATCAGAAAGTTTGGAGTCTTTTAAAGAAAGGCAGAGGAAGATCAAGGAGAACATTCAATGAGTCGAATGGGACCTTCTGGTTAACAACCTATCTAAAGAGTTGGTTGTTAATAGAGCACAACTTAATGGGATAAGACTTGTTGTTGTTGTTGTACCAACTTTTATTACTCTATCTTAGGAGGTGCTGGTTTCTTGTCTCATATTTATTCTTCCTTTAGATAATTCTTTTATCTAAAAATTTCCCATGAATGCATGCCTTTGGTAATATCGCTTGGAGAAGTGACATCAAAATATCTCTCCTTTCCATTGCTATTTTTCCTTCATCTATTAATGGGTTAAATCTGTTGCTTCTTGTTTCTTATGTAGGTGGACCATTGTTCTAAGAATTTTGGAGCACATTTTTCTGTATTTGATCCTGCAGATACTTGTGCATTATACACCATGTACTTTAAACATATATAAGAATCACCAGATCCTCCTTTGTTGATCGAAGATTGGTTTAAATATAAATTCCTTAGAGGCTTCAATTACTTGGAGTGTGGTATGATCTGGGTTTGGCACCGAGATAGGGGTTCCAGTGTGCCATTTAGCTGGAATTTGTGGTGCCTGAGGAGTGGGCATAACTGGTTTGCTATTTCAAGTAAATCTTCTTCAACTAGTTTTTCTTAAATCAATGTCCTTCTACTTTCAGAAAATGCAGTGGCCTTAGATGTTGTACAAGAGAGCCTCAGTAAACTCTTGATGATTCGATATGCTGAACGCTGCCCTGCCCCTGGGCTGGTTGTTTCTCCTCCAGTTGAGCAGGATACTAAAAAGCGAGGTGCTAAGTTCAAGGTAATTGTTTCTTCATCTCAGCATCTTTAGTTAACTGTGTTGTGCTTTTGCAGTTACCATTTTTATTTCAGGCAGTAGCGCTAATTCATGATGACCACTGATTCTGTTGTGCATCTTTTAATTTTAGGGAAGAGGACCTATTTTTGAAATTCAGTAGAGGATTGTATGATTTAGATATCTCCCAAGAGAGGGGAGAATGGTTTAGTATTAAAAATTCTAGCTATCTATCAATATATGATATATAACCAAAAATATTTTTGATATTAGAAATAAATTAACTGATTATGATGGAAAGTTGAACTTAAAATGTGTGTATGTGTGCACATGCATGCATATATAACTAGAGTGGACTGTATGCATTTGCGCAGAGCTTAAGATGAGTGGCATTACCTATGCCTTTTAAACAATGTGATTCCCTATACTTTGTATATTTTGCATTGATTTATATTGATTCTATTATGCGGAGAAAAATAAAATGTTTTAAAAATGATACAATTTGATGCAAATAATTTAACATGCCTTTTCATTTTAATCAAATTTAGTGATTGTAAAACATAAAATTAATGGGTGATATTTAACAAAACTTAATGAAATGAATGAATCTTGGCCAAAAAAATAAACAAATGCAAATAAATCCTGCTTCAGTGGGAAGTCAACAGAAATCAATGTTTTAACCTAGTTAATAAGATATTGTGATATTGAATTTTCCAAAAAACAATCAACATGAGTTGTTAATATCTGATCCATGAGAGCGCATAAAAATAGATTTGCTCACTATACTATTACATTATTTTGTTTTGTAGGCTGTGATATTAACTTTTCTACTGGGATTCGACTTAGTTACATTGCATGTGTTTTTCTTTTTTGGCCTTTCTTTTTTGCTCGCTGGTTCATGTCCTTTCTGTGACAAGCTTTGGCTACATATAACATGATAACTTAAAAAAAAAAAAAAACTATCAGACTTGACAAAAAAGATCTAATCACTATATATATTAAATTATATCAGTTTGTTTACTCTAAAATAAATTTTCTTCTGTAAAAATTTAATTTTATATATATTAAAATGTAATCAAAGAACATTCTAAGCAGAGTATTATTTTTATTTCAGACAAAAAAAAACTATCAGACTTGACAAAAAAGATCTAATCACGATATATATTAAATTATATCAGTTTGTTTACTCTAAAATAAATTTTCTTCTGTAAAAATTTAATTTTCTATATATTAAAATGTAATCAAAGAACATTCTAAGTTGAGTAGTATTTTTATTTCAGACAAACAAGTCATCATAAATCTCACTTATATTTTTTAGTTATAAAAGATCCTTCTGGATTGTGAGTGACCCAGCAAGTAATCTAATGACTTGAAATCTTCCCCGGTTGCATGTATGGTCCTGTTTAACAAGTACGTGGTCTCTTTCTATGACAACGTATCAATGATTTGATATGGTCTTTTGCACTGAAGCTGAAAAACTGAAGTGTTCAATTTTGTATCCCAAATATGTGTTCCGTTGATGCTTTTTCTTTTGGTAATCCTTGCCTGTAGATAGCTGAAGAACCAGAGACGATAGAATATTGTGTTTTAGAAGCAGCTGTGCCTGCGGAAGGAATCAGGTTTTCTCTCGCTGCAAATTCTGAATTAATAAATAATTCAGACATTTCCCCTATGGGGGTTGGAGAAAATGTTGGTAAGACTACTGTTATCTTGAGTGATCAGACAAGCAAGTATTACTTATTTCCTGTTCACAATAGTTATAACTGAACTGTGATGATCTGAAGTGCAGCAAAAGAGGATTCAACTCTGTTTCGTGCCAATTTTGAGGAGTTTATCCGCCGTCGTAGGCACAAGGTTGGTTGTACTGTGTAATGTCCCATTGCAACATCTTTCTATTTGCTATCCCTGTTAGATTTTCCTGCAAATTCAGTCTTACATGCCTTTCTTCTTTTCTTTAAGAAAAGATCTCTGTTTCGATGTTGTCTCTGTTGTCTAATGAGTGATGGACTTTGAAATTAAGGTTCGAGTTGTTTCTTTCTCTTAAAAGGCAATCTGAGTGATTTACAATATGCCAAATGCATACTTCTAATTGTTGAAAGTCAATGGAAAGTCACTAATCATAACATCCCGCACATTAATCTACTGATTGACATTGAGTTACTTTTCCTTTGCTGCATCTACTATGTTTTCTTGCTTGTTTTGGATGTGGCAACCAGGAACTATGTTCATATATTGCCTATTCTCTTGAAAATTACAAAATTTTCAGGTATCTCATACAGTAATTTATTGTGCTTTTAAGACTAAAACATTTTCTCTCCAAGTTGTCTTTCCTTAGAGAATCATTATCAATGTTATTATTGAAAGAATGCATTTGTATGCTTTCCTTAGGTACTGATTGAGAATGTTAGAACAGCACATGATGATGGACCTGCTATTGTCTTAGGGGCAATACTGGATGCAACTAGAAATGCGGAGAAAAAGGTGAAAATGGAGAATTCAGGTGAAACAGATCTATCGCTTGGTGAATTTGGAAACCTAACTACATATTTACATAGCAGTGACTACAATTATTCATATTAGTCATGGGATATGATTGATTGGTTTCCTGCTCTTGCCTGTTGTAACTCATTGTTATGGCCAAAAGAAAACTGAGTGGCCATTCTACTGGATTTGTCTCTCACATATTTTTATTTATTTCTACTATTCACAAGTGTTTTTTGTTAATTAGTGCTTAAAATTCAGTCATGCATTAGAAATTCAATTTCAGTACCTAGAAAGTAAGAGCAGTAGCATGGAAACGCCAATTTCTTACTTTTGTGTGTGTTGACAGCTATTTACTGCTTTATTTGTGCATCATCCTTTTTATTACTTCTTTTACTGGTATGATCTATTGATAAATTTTATATCTTTATGGTTGAGAATTAAGTCTCACCTACCCTGTCCGTGATTGCCCATGAAACGCCTTTTTTTAAGTCACACCAAATATTTGAAACTTCTGCTTTGAGAATATTTGTTTTCCCATATTTTACATTTTATTCCAACTGTTATGTTATTTTACTGCTCTTTATTTCATAATCTTAAGCAACTAGGTTTCCCAAGATTTTTGTTTCTTTTCTCTGGTAATATTACATTCTGAGTAGTGGAAATGGAAAAAATGTATGCTTTCTATGTCTTGACTGCCACGATTGCTGTTTCTGGTGAGTCGTCATTTACACCTGTCCTCTTTATGTTTCAGTGCCGTTGACACTGGATGCTATTTTCACTGAGGTGCAGAAGACTGAAAATGGCCGTGCTTTGACCATGGAACGTGTTAGATCTTCTCTTGTCCTGCTGGGTTGTCCTCAGAGAATGTTAGATGATTCATATAGTATTGGTGCAAATCTGATCTTCTTCCCCTATGTTATGCTTTACTATATGTTGTGAAATAGCCACTTTCAGTTGATTTATTTATTCCCATTCGAGGCTTCATCTTTTCCTTCTTATTTACTTTTCCAATAGTTTTTTTCTGACAATTTATTCCTTTTCCTTTTCAGATCTGAGGAAAATTATTGAGTCGGCTCGAGATGAAGAGGTCCTTATTGTTTTGTCACATAATGTCAAAATTGGCTTATGTAGAACTGTCTTATTTCTTGTTCTATCTTGCAGGTTGAGTCAATTGTGTTAAAAAGGTATGGAACGGATGCCTACAGGATGTTCAGATTGTTGTCCAAGGCTGATCGTCTTCTTGAGACGGATAAGGTGGTTATATGAATATTCAACTAATATGATATGAATATTCAATACGGAACTTTTTTTTTTTTCAAATGAAAAATTTAAGCACCGAATATATGATTTTGAATTTCAATTTGAGGCTTGAATTTCTACTAAAGGCAACTATTGAGATTTTTGTAAATTAAAATGATGTAATAAAGTAAATAGTCATAGACAAATTTTGACAGGAAACTCTTACTGCTTAAAGCATTTAGTGACCTCATGTATGCTGATAGTTTTTATTTCTTTTCCGCTTGTATGGTTCTGGTTAAGTTACCGGCTCCAAAAAAAAAGGTCAAGTTTCAAATAATAACTTGTGAAATGACCAATAATAAATGAAGGATAAGATGTTAAGATACGCATATATACACAAGATACTAACATTTAAAAAAAAAAAAACAGAGAGAAAAGTTAACATTACCACTAAAATTAAAATGATAAAATGATAATAATGATGTGGTTAGAGTGCAAGCAAATAATGAATAATATTTATGGAAGGGAAGGGGACGTGTAATACTTGAGCACATGACCTTAGAAACAACTACAAGTATCTTCATGCCAAGAAATTTTTTTGCAATTGCGAGGATGAGAATTTCAGTGACTTTTGCATCTACGTCTATATGCAAATGAAAGGAAAAAAAAAATCTTTCAGATGAACCAAGCGCTATATTAAGCAACTATTTATGACCGTTTTATACTTTTCTTTTCCTCGTAGATAGCACAGTCTACTTTTGTTGAAAAAAAGGATACTCCAAAGATACTATACAAGTTATGGAAGGATGACTATCTGCATATGGAGGTGATCAATCTCCTTTTAAAATTTTCGACCCACCGGGAATCAACTTATATGTTTGGACTGATTTGTCATCCCAAATTAATCTTCCTTGCAGAAATTGGTTGTGACAGGAGCTAGGCAATCAAAGTTCTTGTTGTGGAAAGTTAATAAACCTATTTTGTGGGAACACGTGCTAGATGAGATGTATCATGCTGCCTTAAATTTGAGCCTACGACTGGCTTATGAGCAGGAAAAGGATGAAGAGGTTAGTAAGCACATGGATATTAAAGTATTTAGGTTGCTTTTTCTTTAAAAAGTTTTTATATGTATTTTTCTTTTTGCCATTCCGAAGTGATTATGTTCCCCAAAAACTGGGTTTTGTTTCATTTTATGTCTAATTATATTGGAAAACCAATTAAATATACAGATATACTTGTCAGTCTTGTATTGCTTGTGGTTGCAACTTGAGTACAAATTTTCTTTTGTGAGGGAGCAAAAATTAAATCCAATGACAGGCCAAAGCAGATCACTGATAACAGAGCAGTTTTTCTATCGAAAATAGCTGATATACTGCTTTTGTTACTTCTATTTGTTCACAGCTTAAAGCCCTAAAGTAGTACTAAATATTTTTTGTTGGTTGGTTTGGTTAAATATCAGTGTCAATTATTCCTATACAGTTTTAAGCATCTTACTCAATTCCCTGTGGTTTGTTCTATTACTTGTTTAATCAAACTGGTAATTTTGGTCTCAACTAGATCTGGACCCGTATGTTGCGTGTAATTTAAGACGAGTCACATTGTTTATGGCCGTCAAACAATGCAGCTTTCTAGAGGTTATATCTATTGGTGATTTATAGAAATTATCTCTTATATGTTATAATGATGAACAATGGAAATGTTCAAAGTATAAGTAAAAGCATAGTTGTCAAAATCATCCACTACACTCTTAAGTGTGAGTGTAGTTCCCGAAATCCCCCGTTTTTTAACATTTGATTTGAACTTGAACACTCTAAATATGCTTGCCGTTCAGCTGATATACATTCACAGTGAGATACCATGAGGTTAGGCTTACTGTGTGGTAACTGAATGTGAACATTTGGTTGCAATGTTCTCAGTTTATTCCAATCTATTGTCCTTGTGTGTTGCGTTCAATTTCAGTATAGCCATTGATTTGTGCTAAAGATGATATTGCTAATTCATTTGCAGCTTTTGAGTGTCCCTAAAGACAAGATTGTGGGGAACCTACAGAAGAGATACAAACGGCTGAGAAATGCCTGGTTACTACTGGAATCCTCTTTGATGAAACTTGATGATGCTCTGATGCTTTTCCATGATTTCTGAGTTTAAATTTTATTACAATAAATTATTGTGATCTCTACTACGAGGGGAGAATGTACAACAGAACTTTTTTTTCTAAGCAGTAGGAAGAATGGTTTCAAACATTTGAAGGTGGTTTGAGATTTTTCTTAAATATTTATTATATCTAACTAATTTTAAAATATTTTTTAAATTACACAATTCAGTTATTTGAATCTTAGAGTATCTCCTACCAACAGTTGTTTTGACTTTATGAGGAATTGAAGAGGAACACTTGTAGCTAACATGTTAATTAGACCGAGTGCTTATTTAGGGGTACTTGAAATAAATGTTTTTATGCTTTATGAGACAATTTTTTTTCATATATTTGTTTTGCAGAACATAAAATCACTTCAAATAAGTTGATAACTTGATACAAACCAAATATTGTTTAAATAGTGAAAATTTACCAATGATGATAACAGTTATTATAATAAGAAATAATTTAGAGAAGTAGTGTGATGACAAAAAAGAGCTTCGGGAAAAAAACCAAAAAAAAACCCCAAACTTTCTTTTTAGGGCCTGAAGCTAAAGCAATATCCTTGTAGCAGAAAACATGGCAATTGTGTGTGTACATACACCGGACGCAAGTCCATAGTTCTCCCTCTTTCCTTTCTTTTGACCAAGGGGTTGGGGCCCTGAGAAAAGCTGCGTAGCGCAAAAATACTTCAACCAACGTGAGTGTAACGTGGCTTTTCGTTTTTTTATTTTTAAATTTATCTTTATTTTAGTTTTGATTTTTCAATTTTGATATCATAAGTTTGGATTCCTCAAATTTTTTTTATTTTAAATATTGATCCATATAATCTAATAAAAATGTGGATTATTTTACCTCTTGAGAGATCAAAATCTATGGTTTAAAATTTAAGAGATTAAAACAAAAATAAGTGCAAACTTAAAAGATCAGAATTATATTAATTCTATGCAAAATTAAATAGTGCCTTTAAAGAACCTAAAAACAAAGTCATTATCCTTAATATAAGTTTTTTTATTTATTTTTTTGAGTTGCACTTGTGAGTTATTTCAGAAATTTCCTCTACTCACATTCCAATATAATATGAAAGTAGGGAAAAATAGAAAGTGGGTTTACTTTCAAGACAATTTCATAATACTTCAACAAGCTTAACGTGGTTCCAAATTCGTTTAAAGCAACTTATATACAGGATTAGGAAAAATGCTATATAAATTTATTCCTAAAGTTTAAAATTATAAGAGCTATCATAATATAAATAAACTACAATTAATAGTATTTCATTTTTATGTTATTTTGTTCAAGCCATTGACTCACTGAGCTTAGGCTTTCTGTCCAGCTAAAGACTGAAGAATATGCTGCCACACACACACACACACACACACACACACACAAACTATGGTCAGTAGTACTCTTTCGTTTCTTGTTTTCTCAACATTTCCTTGTTTTCTAGTGCTCTTTCGTTTCTGTGTTAATTTGAAAACCTTGTATGATTTGAAAAATGAAAAGAAGAAACATAATTGTAATAAAATTTTAGAAAACTATATGGAATGAATTAATCAAATATCCATATAAAGCATAAAATCATTGTTCACAAAACTACTTGAAACCATACACAGCTTTTTATTTATTTAATTTTTTGAACTTAAATAAAATGAAGAGAAAAAAATAAAATAGAAAGGATTTCACGACAAAAATAAAATAAGATAAAATAAGAAGAATAACGAATAACAGGGAAAGTGACGGGGAAGTTGGTCAAACCCAAAGGCACAAACTACCGAAACGAGCAGGATTGCATGCACGGAGGGGACTCGAAAAGGAACGCCATCCTTGCTAGTCGGGGTGAACCATCATCAGCAAGTCCCCGTTTTCTGCTTTTCGAGTGAACCAACAATATCCTCGCTTCCCTTCTTCTTCTTCTTTGTAGAAATGTTCGCGAAGCTCCAAGTCTTAGACACCAACTGTTTCCACGTAGTGGGTTCCTCCAACACACTTCCCGGCGTAGGAGTTTCGGTTTCCCCAGCTGAAAAGGCTCACCCAGGAACGAAAAAATCTGGAGAACAAAAGCTTCCTCTTGCCCCTAATGGGAAGGTGAAGTGGTCTCGCAGAGTTCGGCGGAGTGTTCCTGATAGAAGAGATGGCGTAAATCATGAACATGGAGTTAAGAAACAGAATTTGGACAGGAATTTGAATGGTGGGGCTCCTAGAAAGAGGATTAATTGTGAAACTTCGAGGGTTGGCAATGGCGGTGTTTTGCAGGGAAAAGTGCAGACCAAGTGTTCGACGAAATGGGTAACCTATGGTGGATGCATTCCAGCGATTCTGACTGCTTTGGATATGTTTCAAGATTTAGATGAGGCTTTAAGACCATGGGAAGAGAGGCTTAGCAATAAGGAAAGGAGTATAATTTTGAAGGAGCAATCGAGGTGGGAGAGGGCTCTGGAAATTTTTCAGTGGTTTAATAAAAAGGGCCAGGAACTTAATGTGATTCATTACAATATTATGCTGAGGATCCTGGGTAAAGCACGGAAGTGGAGCCATTTGGAGAGTTTGTGGAATGAGATGAATACAAGAGGAATTGCAGCGACCAATTCCACTTATGGAACTTTGATTGATGTTTATAGCAAAGGTGGACTAAAAGAAGATGCACTTGTTTGGCTTGAAAGGATGATTAGGAAAGGGATGGAACCTGATGAGGTCACAATGGTAATAGTGGTTCAATTGTATAAGAAGGCAGGGGAATTTCAGAAAGCTGAAGATTTTTTCAGAAAGTGGTCATCAGGCGAACTTCTAACGAAGGAGAGAAATAATACATTGGATGCTTCAGAAATGGACAAGAGGGTAGCACATAGCTATGTTTGCCTGAGCTCACACACGTATAACACCTTAATTGACACATATGGGAAGGCAGGTCAACTCAAAGAAGCGTCTGAAACTTTTAACAAGATGCTTAAACAGGGCATAGCCCCAACTACAGTGACATTCAACACAATGATTCACATTTGTGGTAACCATGGACAGCTAGAGGAAGTTACTTTGCTACTGCAAAAAATGGAAGAGCTTCAATGTCCACCCGACACAAGGACTTATAATATTCTCATATCTCTCCATGCAAAGCACAATGATATAGCCATGGCAACGAGGTATTTTTCAAAAATGAAAGAAGCCTCTCTTGAGCCTGACCTTGTGAGTTACCGGACTCTCTTGTATGCCTACTCAATTAGGCAAATGGTCCATGAAGCTGAAGAGCTTATATCAGAGATGGATGAGAAACGACATGAAATTGATGAATTCACCCAGTCTGCCTTGACTAGGATGTATATAGAGGCTGGAATGCTTGAGCAGTCATGGTTATGGTTCAGGAGGTTTCATCTATCTGGGAGTATGACATCTGAGTGCTATTCTGCCAACATTGATGCGTATGGGGAGCATGGTCATACTTTAGAAGCTGAGAAAGTTTTCATTTGTTGCCAAGAAATGAAGAAGCTTAGCATCCTTCATTTCAACGTGATGATTAAAGCTTATGGCATAGGAAAGTACTATGATAAAGCATGCCAATTGTTTGATAGCATTGAGAAACATGGTATAATCGCAGACAAATGTAGCTATAGTTCTCTTATTCAAATTTTGGCGAGTGCTGACCAGCCACATACTGCCAAATGTTATCTAAAAAAGATGCAGGAAGCTGGATTAATTGATGATTGCATCCCATATTGTGCTGTGATTTCCAGCTTTGTGAAGTTAGGTAATTTGGAAATGGCAGAAGAATTATACAAGGAAATGATTGGACATGCTGTGCAGCCTGATGTAATTGTTTATGGGGTTCTGATCAATGCTTTTGCCGACGCTGGAAGTGTTAAAGAAGCCCTCACTTATGTTGATGAAATGAAAAGGGCAGGCTTGCCAGGGAATGAGGTCATATATAATTCTTTGATCAAATTGTATACGAAACTTGATTATCTGAAAGAAGCGGAAGAAACATACAAGTTGCTTCAATCATCTGAAGAAGGTCCGCCTATATATTCTTCTAACTGCATGCTTGATCTTTATACCAAGAGATCTATGGTTGAACAAGCAAAAGAAATATTTGAGAGTGTGAAGGAAAAGGGATCTGCAAATGAGTTTACATATGCAATGATGCTTTATATGTACAAGAAAATGGGAAGACTGGATGAAGCCATTCAAATTGCAAAGGAGATGAGAAAACTGGGGCTCTTAACTGACTTGTTGAGTTATAACAATGTACTTGGTCTGTATGTAATGGATGGGAGAACCAGGGAGGCGGTAGAGACTTTCAGAGAGATGATAAGATCTACCATCCAACCTGATGATTGTACACTCAAATCTCTTGGCTTTCTTTTGCTAAAATGTGGAATTTCAAAGCAGGCTGTTGGCAAGTTGGAAGTAATGATGAAAAGAGATGCTTCTCGTGGTTTACAAGCATGGATGTCAGCACTCTCTTGTGTGCTTGATGTGGAAGATTTTGATGATGAATAGGCTTTCCTCTGCTTGTCTTTCAAAATCTTGCAGAGTTAGGCTAGCAACTGTTAGTGGATCGTTGAAGAGAATGAGGCCTGAATTAGAATGCCAGTTGCACCCATCTGCCAGCTCAAAATTTCCAAGTGGAAAATATAATGTAAAACTGACATGACTCGTCATTCATTGGCTTCATGTTGATCCGTTCGAAGGAGAACCAGGGTTAAAGCTATGACAAAGGAGACATAGCTTTTTCCTTTGATGATGCACACCGTGGCATAACTCTTGCAGTTTGACTATGGTCTATGCTCTGATTTAGAGCCAACCCAAGTAATTCCATGCTGAGGAAACCTGAAAATAGAATCACCTGTAAGTAAAAGTATCCTGATATGTAAGAAAAGTAGGAAACTTTGTTGTAAAAAGTTTGCTGTACGTAAGAGGTTTAGAAATCATAATTATTGCCCATAATTTTCTGCCTCGTCTGTCTCTCTCTGATCTGTAATGACTAGCAAAGTGTAAATAATTTCTTTTAATCTCCAAAACAAGTTAGCGAGTGATCCTATCTGGGTTTAGTGGGAATGCTTATGCCTGTATAGGAGTTTGTGAGGTAAAGTTTGTGTATTTTATTGTCAATGTTGCAACTATAGTTGATTGTGTACTCTGCCTTTGTTTTAAACTTAACAATCTGTATAAGAATGATACAAATAAAAAAAGGTAACCAAAGCTGCCTGCTACAGAAGGAGGGAACCAACACACTTTTAGAACAACTTTAATGCTTTAGATGAGAGGCTAAGTTGTTAGAACGAGAAAGCTCTGAGCATGTATGTCAGCTGCTCATTTACTATGTTCATTGGTTCCATGATTCATCATTTAGTCCCTGCTATGCACTCAGAATATGAAGTAATAACTTTATTATTGCCTTTACTTTTTTTTTTTTTCCCATAGCCAGTTGGTGACATAGAGTACTGTCAATTTTATTTCCAATGACTCTTTATTTCATCCCTTAGGGAGAATAACTTATTTAAAATTGAAATGAAGTACTCTTATTATTTAAATATTTCTCTAATTCTTTTAAGTTCTGATAAAAACTTCACTTTAGTATTCAATTGCTTCACTTCCATCCCAAAATTATTATTCTGCTCCCATCATCATTCGTGGCTTGGATGTGGCTTTTAGCTTATTGAGGGTTACTGAAATATTCCATCGAGCTGAGATTTTTGGGTCTACATTAATGACGGGTCAGACCAGAGACATTTCTGTTGAAAAATTCTAAACTGATGCAGCGATGCAATTCAAGTTGCATGGTATATTTTTTAAGATGGTTATGATAACTGCTATTTTTCTACTTGGACTTGAACCTTTTTCTCTCTTTTGATAGTCATGATATAAACTTTATATTATGGCGCTTGAATTGTCATAAGTTGCATTCAATATTCTTGAAGACTCAAAGGCGATGTGATCGGTTTCTTTTTGTGGGTTTCAACTTTCAAGTATCAACTCAATAGAAAATGTGAAGTGTAATCTATCAGATATTCTTAACAAGAAACTGTTGCAACAGATATAAACCATTTCCTTTTAAGTAATACCTTGAACTATGGTCTGCTGACTTCCCTCTTTCCTTTCTTATAAAAATGTTTTTCTCAAAGTACGTCCAAAAGATGCAGCTAATACACAAAATGGTTAAAAGTAGGCTAACTAAACTTGGAAAAAGAAAAAAGAATTTGAAATCTTATCAACATTCTGTGTCTAATTTTTCCTCCAGGTTAAGTGAAGACCCAAGCTGAGGCCAGTAGCAGAGAAAACATAACGTGGCTCTCTCTGTGAAATGAGAAAGCCCTGCTGGTCATAAGAAACCCTGGCTTTTCTGGTGGGAATTCCTCAACATTTATTGCAACTTTCATGCCTTCAAGGCAGAATCCCTTGCCACTGATAAAGTAATATGGTTTTTCCTCCAAGAGTTGAAACACATCTCTCCCTCCTCTTGTGATGTTCATGATGAAGTCTCTGTCAATGCAGTTCTCATAGCTTGTTTTGTTCACCTCCAGAACAGTGTAGAGTTGCTTGTCAAAACCAAAATCTGAAAGCAGAGGAGAAAAGAAGAACTCAGGCTATGAAGTAAGAGCTTTGAAGGGATAAACTGATCATGATACTTTATGAATGAGAAAAATAAAGAGATCTTACACAGCCAATCACCCTTGTAGAAGTGATCATGGCTAGCCCACTCTGTGAAGTTAACTTTTGGTCTCCAAGTGTACCTTCCTCCTCCAACCCTATGCAGCACAGGATCTCTGCTCTCAGTGCAGAAAAACCCCATTGCCATGGCTATCATTAAGAATAATGTTGTTTTTCTCTTCATCTCCATTTTCAATATCCGAGGCTGTTAATGTTGAGAATGATATCCTTCCTTTGGTTTGGAAAGAAATTAGAACATGCATGCAATCTTCTGACCGTTTTGGCACCAGGTGAGCATTTTGGTGTATATTCACAGCAAGAGTCTTTTCATGCCAAGAATCATGTGGGTCAAATGGTCAATTCATCCAAAAGTATGCTGAAAATGACACTCTTACCCCTAACTCTGTATTTGTACCAATAAGTATTTGAAAAAAATAAAATAAAAATCATACAGTGGAACATGTATTGTGCGCAAACGATATTCACAACAAATTCGCAGTATTGTTGCTTCTTCTCCTTGTACCTAACCAGTCATGCATTTATAGTTGCTATTCTACTATTGGGTCTTGGTTTCACTCATGTACTTATGAATGCTGTTTGTTGAATATATTGATGTTTGTTGAATGTTGATTGCCAAAATTTATCTCTATTTATTTTTCTTTTTCAAATAAGGATATAAAAATATTTTTTTATTGTTAAACCAATTTTTCAATTTTTTTCCTATTTATTACTTTTGTCTCTGTGTACAAAGAACAACAAGCATATTGCAATCTATTTCTCACACTTATTTTTACTTTGAGCTCATTTCAGTTTTAAATCAGCATCATGATACTTCGCATTGGCATAACTGGTGCATATTGTATTGAGATTGCAATTGACCAATGGCAAAAATTATACCATGTATCATACGGTAATTTCCATTACAAAAATTCACAACAATACATTGGATTAGCAGTCTTGTTTTTCTGTTCTTTAAGTTTTTCTATAAAAAAGAATTTTGTTACGAATAGTTTAATTGTCAGCTGAAAATATAATGATAAGTTTACAAATAGTTTAATTGTCATCATTTTTTTGGTTAACAATTTGAGTTAAAAGACTAAAAAGATAAACTCATCTTTTAAGGGGGACGAGCTAGCCAATAACCATTTTTTACAAGCTATGGATATTAAATGATTGTCTTTTATTTTTTTGTTCCTCAGATCTTTTTGGCAAAAATAAAAGGATTAATATAAAAAAGAAAGTCATTTTTTCCCCAAAATGCTCACCTTAATAAAAAAATTAAGAAAGAATGCATTAAAGACCATATAAAAATATTAATGCACAATGAGGACTCTGAAATTATAAATATAAAAATTTGAGTAATAAATTTCCAAATTTTAGTTATAATAAGTCTCATTTTACATAAATATTTTATAAGATTTTTATTCTCATCCTTCCAAAAAATCAAAATGAGGACTTTGAAATTATAAATATAAAAATTTGAGTAATAAATTTCCAATTTTAGTCATAAATAGTCTCATTTTACGTAAATACTACCTCCGGTCCTAATTATAAAACCCAGTTGACTAATTTGAAGAGATTAAAGAACCTAGTTAAGTTAGTTATTTGATAAATAGGTTTGTTTTTTCTAAAATCCTTGCTAATCAGTTTGTTCTAAATCTACTATTATTAAAGGACTATCTTGAAAGAAAAAATAAAAAATAAAAGACAAAATAGATTAAGATCTTATATTTAAGGTTAAAATAAAATTAAATAAAGTTTTATATTAAAGACCGGAGGTAGTATTTTATAAGATTTTTATTCTCATCCCTCCAAAAAATTGGACCCGCACAAGTTTCAGCCCAATTTGCCGCTTGATAAACGTTGTGGGTCGAAGCTAATTTCAAACGCTCCAGTGAAAGCTTTCCCTCCCCATTTTTGAACTCAAAAACAGAGCAGAATTCATTGCATGGTTGACGGAAACTGAGGTATTCGAGACTCTATTTTGCCTAGTATTTTCACCTTTTTGTCCCTTCTGTAGCATCTCCATATGCTTTAGGTTGTTTTTCCTTTTCCCTTTTCCCCAAGTCTTCTTAATGACTAGAATGGTTGGTTTCATACTTCCATTTAATTAGTACATTTATTGATCTGGGGTCATTGGAACTTTGATCTGACTAAGGGTGTGTTTGGATAGAAACCAAACCATGGTTTCAGAAGTGCTTTTACGGATTACGAAGTAAATATGTGGAGGAGATTATCTCATTTGCGGAAAATGCTTCTGAAACCACGGTTTGGGGATACCCAAACAGCCCTAAGATTTGCTTGGGGTGTGTGAAATCCATGCTCATGCTTACTTAGTGCACACCAAGTGATTGATAAAATGCTTGGAAAAAACAAAAAGGAAAATGCCATTAGGATATGCTTGCTTAGTGCACACCAAGTCCATCAATTATAGTCGCTACGGTTGAAATTGGGAAATTCTATGGTCATAAATTATGAGGGAAAAGAGTAATCATTGGGTTACATCTATTATGATACTAGGAGTGAGTTTACTTCTCCATGTTGCCAGCATCTTAGCTCTGATGCCATTGTGATATGCAGAGAACCACAAGAGTGTAATTTACCCCTGAGCAACTTCATGGATCATTGAGCAGTCTCTGATAATTTACTATAGCCTCGTTTATAACTCTCAAGGATGCTAAATCTATTCTGCACAGTAGAACGGCTACTTAAAATATCTACTTCTAACTTATTCTCTTAATTTCTTTTAGTTGTGCTCTCATTCTCTATTTCCCACGTACTATCTTCCTTTTAAGGAACATTAAGCTGCAGTCTGCTTCATTACCAATTGGGCGATAACATCAGGATTTGATTTTGCAGAACCCTCGCAAGAATGCTCACAAGGTTACTTTCCAGCAGACTCCAGTCTCTTAGGCTCTTTTCATCGGAAACTCCTCGTGTACTAAAACCTGGGGATGTCTTGAGGCAGACAAGGATTTTTACTGATGAAGATGTCCTTCAATACTCGAAGGTGAGTCATGATTCTAATCCTCTGCATTTTGATTCGGAAGCTGCCCGAAATGTTGGATTTGAAGGTCGACTAGTGCATGGGATGCTCGTTGCTTCTCTCTTTCCTCATATCATCTCGTCACATTTTGTAAGTCCTTCACTAGCCATCTATCTGAATTTGTTAATGCCTATTGGATGTTTGAGTTATATTATCTCAGTAAAATGAATGAAATTTCATTAAACAGATTAATCAGTATTTACTGAAATTTAGATTAAATGAAATCTTCCTTTTTGAGGGCCTGTAACTTCCATGATGTTGACCATGATACACTGCTTCAAAGTTACGTTAGACCTAACTTCCTCAGTCCAAAAATGACCAGGGAATGCTCAAAACAGAACAAAGTATTAAAAGCTGCATTCCTCATTTAAACTCTGCTAGAACTTTGGTGCTCACCATTCAACAAACTAAGTTTAGGTCTTAATTTTACTCCTAATGACATGATCCCTCACTCTGATTCTCTTTTGCAAACTTTCCTGATGAAGCTTTTCTTCCTTGTTCTTTTTGTTCCTCCACATTTCTACTGCTACGGATAGTTGTAGCCTGGAGCTGTATATGTATCTCAAAGCTTGAATTTTAAGTTCCCGGTCTATATTGGAGATCAGATTATCAGTGAAGTACAAGCAACTAATCTAAGAGTAAATAAAAATCGATATCTGTAAGTTACACTTGGCATTCTCCTGTCGGCATTTGTTGATTGACTCACTTTTGCTTCTGACTGAGCTTTTGTCTTCTAATTAGTGCAAAATTTAAGACGAGTAGCTTCAAGAATGGCGAATTCTTGTTCTTGAAGGTGAGGCTGTGGCTATTCTACAAACCTTGACTATGGAAGATGGTCATTGCAAGGAGCAGTGAAACCTATTCATTAGTCTAACTTGTTTCCCAGAGATGCCTTGTTTGAGCAGAAAGATTATGGTTTATGAGACTTTTTTTTTGAGTTCTACTGATGAACTTGCAAACATTAGAGGTTGTACTTTTGATTGCCTTGATAAACTCTTAAAACACAAGAATTGAAAGGTCAATATCTCCGTCATTTCGTTGTTATTGTATGTGTACTGCTAATGTTTAATAGGCTTATCAGCAGGGAGCTCCGAAGAGGCATTTATCTGAGAAATTTTCGGGCTTATTCAAATTCTCTTATTCATAAACTTGTGGAAATTTTTATCTTAATATCTAACTTCAAGTTTTGACAATAACAATTACTAACGTGGGCACACTTTAACTAGGTTGCTACTTTAACATCAGCAGCATCATGACATTCCATGCACGTAACTGATTGCTGCATTGTGTCTAATACAATCCTTATATATGATGTTGGGATTATTCTTATAAAAAAAAGATATTGGATTATTTAAAGATTTAATTGCTGATAAAGTACAATAGCACCGTGTGATCCCTGTAACTGATCTCAGCTAGCTAGCGGGATTTGATAACTTTGGGATATGGTTTTTTATTAAAAAAAAATTGTTTTTTAGGCTCATGCAAGTTTTCCTTCTCAGGTGATATCTTTGAAGTTACAGTTGAAACAAAATTGTTGATTTGCTCAGCCGGCTCTAAACATTCTATTCTTGAAACCTGAAGTATTTCTTTGTTGAAAATTAAATGGAATTGGTACTTCTATCAAAAGGCTAAAAAAAAAAAAAAACAAAGTTATGTTTGCTATTCATGACAGTTGGTTCAGATGATTCATCAATGATCATAAGGTCTCTTTGAAGATATTTTGAATAATAACTTTAAAAGCGCTATCGATGGAAGAGCCTTACATTTTAATTATTTTTGACATGAGTTATAAGTTGGGATTTTGCATGACACGCAAAAATTAGGCGTGGTATTCACAGTGAAAAGTGGAAGATAAAGGGTGTTTTTATTGATTTACTTCTTACAAGATTTTATTTTGATTTTTTAATTTTATAAAGTGTCTTTCCATTCCTCTAATCCAAACATTATTTTCTTGTTAACAAAAATATGCTGATAAAATTTTCAATATTGACATGCTAATATATTAAGTTTAAAATTTTAAAAATAATAGTGATTGGTAAAAAAAAAAGTCGTCATTTGTAATTAACAGGATTAAAATACTAAAAAATATTTCTAAAAATTAAGAAACTAATATGAAATCTTGTATAAAGTCAAGAAAAAAACTTTTGTCAAAATGGAAAATTACTTGATAGTAATCTCATTATAGCTTTGATAATATGGGAACTACCTAATAAGATAATAAAAAATAAGTCTTGAAAAGAAATCTCACTCCATAGGAACAAACCTAAGGGTAGTTTTAGTTAGCATACATGAGAATAACCATGTGAATTACATCAAAAGTAGTAGAAGAAAGACATAATGAGCAACAAACTAAAAACATAACATGAAAATCTATCCCAAACTAAGAGTAAGACTCTTTCAACATGAATGGTCAAGACAAATAAATACAGAATGGGTTGGTTCTGGTTTGTGGGTCTGCCATTTCTAGTGAATGAAGAAGCTCAAAACCAAGGCTGAGACAAGCAGCACCCGAATTCTGCCATTAGTAAAACCTAAACCAGAAGCAGAAGCAGCACTCTTCTGTGGAAGTGGTGAAGGAGAAGGTTGTGAAGCATTCACAACTTGTATAGCAACCTTCATTCCCTGCCAACAGAACCCTCTTCCACTCAAGAAGTAATAGAGTCTGGGCTCTGTGAGTTGGAAGACATCCCTCCCACCTCTTGTTATGTTGTTGATGAAATCTGTCTCTATGCAGTTCTCATAGCTTGTCTTGTTCACCTCCAGCACATTGTACATGTTCTTGTCAAATCCAAAGTCTTTGGAAAAACCATAAATCTAATTAGTGTATATTGGATTTTTTTTTCTTTCTCTTTTAGCATGAGAGAGAATCTCGTAGAAACTCAGAGAAATTGACAAGTCCCTTGTGTCTGTGTGTGGTATGAGAATTAAAGAAGATAGTGTTACTGCACCAAAAGAGATATTTATAAAGAAATAAATTTAAAAAGACGGTTTTTCTATTCATATTATATCCCCTGTCAGGAAAAAAGATACAATTTCATATTTTATTTTAGAAAATTTAACCATAAACTCATGTATTGTACACATTATAAGGTGAGTTTACTGTTTATAACTTATGAATATTGTGATTTTTACTATATTTTTGCACTACAAAATAAATCTTATATTAAGAACCAGATATAATGTTATATATATATAGATATAATTATGAATTCCAATCATTTGCCATAGGATTTGGTGATTTGATGCAACAACCAACAAAGTGAATTAACCCAACAATGAATCATCAATCAACACAAAATTAATGTCTTTTCTAGCAACACTTTCCTTTTACCTCATGCTAATTTTTGTCCCTTATTTTCTTCCAAAGATTTTCTCCTATCTAGGGTGATCTAATATGTTTGTTTGATCCAACAGTCACAAATTAATTGACCCACAAATTTACTCTCACCACATCTTCCTTTAGTTTCATGCTTAATTAATTTTGCCCTCTATTTATTGGTCTTAAATCAAGCTATACCACAAGAACAAAAGTCTTATTCCATTAAGTTGGTTATGAAACAAATTATAGTCCATATGAAAAATGAATTCCTAAAATTTGTTCCATGAGAAGCAACAAATGGTAACATCTAAATAAACATAGATTTAGATGTGCTCTTCCGGTTCTAAATATAAACCCTTATATTTTAGGAGCGGAGAAGTATTATAGCAACAATAAATGCAATACACAAGATTAACTACATATGATATCATTGTGATCCATATTATAAGAATTTAACATAATTTTACATTGATTGTCGAGAGTCTAGCGCAATCTTCTCTCTTTATCTAGTTTGAAACTGATTATAAAACACATGCGGAGTTGGATGTATTACAGTAACAAAAGACAAAAACAAACAAACGAACACAAACTAAGACTTGTATAAGAAAGACTCACATAGCCAATCGCCAACATCAAAGTGCTCATGAGTTGACCATTCTGAGAAATTAACATTGGGTGTCCAATTGTATTTGCCTCCTCCAACATAGTGAATTTCAGCTCTGCCCATTTTTATTATCATCATCGTCACTATCACTATTATCCATGCCATCTCTTTCATCTTCAAAATTTTCATTTCTTCTCTCTCAAAATCTCTCTCCCCCACTTCTTCTCTCTAATGCAATAAAAAGGTTTATAAGGAGACTATCAAGAATAGAGAAGTGACTGACAAATGTGTGTGTGTGTGTGTGTGTGGGTGTGTGTGTGTGTGGGTATTGAAATAAAAGAGGATTCGGCGCACACCTTTTGGAATTTAGGGTTTTTAAATGTAATGTATACTATATGGGATATGTCTTGGTGCACCCTCTAGATTTTATTTAAATAATTTAATTCTGAAAAAAAATTAATCGTAACTACTTATAATTTACTTCAATTTTGAATGAGTCCATGTTGTTTGTTTTGTTTGCATTGGATAGGCATTTATCACTGGATGTAAAAATTATTAATTTTAATTTAAATAATGATTATGGACCGATTTAATGCATGCATGTTCCTTTAATAAATGAAATTTCATAAACGCTATAAATAAAATTATCAAACCAACAACAGAGTCCAATTCAAATAAAATAAATTACAGGGGAGCTAATATAAAATTGAGGCAAACTATAAGGATTTATTAACTGGTTTTTCATTTAATTTTTCACAAAAGTTATAATATAAATTATTATTTTATATGAAATAATAGTGAAATAATTATTGCTTTACATGTTGCTTCATCTGAGATAAAAATTAAATTGAATTACTATTTGAACAAAAATAAATTATAAACCATCTAAATTAAATCTAAATGATTGATATGAGATTCACATAAGATATAAATGCAAAGGCCATCGCAAGTTGGGATTTTATTTCAGCCTTATAATTAGAATGTGATCGCATCATATATGGAAACTTGAAATTTTATTTCATGAAATTAAAAATTTTTGTAATTAATTTATACTGATCATCGTTATTACCATTTTGTTTTGTAAGGCTGAATTCAAAGTTCACCCCTGAATTGTGCCAACTGATACGGAAGAAAAAGATAACAACATGTGAAATAAAATGGTAAGAAAATAAATCATCCATATTACGCAAGATTCTGGTATTAAATATATGCATTATTTTTATATTATTTTATTTTTTTAAAGCCATGCAAACAAAACAAAATTGAAAATTTACTAATTAAAAGAATGAAAACAACAAAAAAATTAATGACTTGCTAGATTATTTTGAAAGATATGTACATATAACCAAACCAGGAATGAAAAGTTAATGAGATTTTAATGGAAAGTTCTGCTGAAGGGAATGAACTTCTCTTCATTTGGAGAAACCGAGTTATATATACAAACACATACCACCTTCCTTCTATTCTTAATATAAGAGCTAGTTGATTAATTTGAATAGATTAAAAAAAATTAGTTAAGTTAGTTATTTGTAATAAATAGGTGTTGTATTCGCTAAAATATCCTTGCTAATTATGTGTATTAATTAAAACTATTATTTGATAAAATATTTAACATATGCAACTATAAGAACTATTTGAAAAGAAAATAGATAAATATGAGAGACAACGTGAATTGAGATCTTATATTTAAGACCAAATTAAATGTCAAATTAATTTTTATATTAATGATTCAACAGTAGTATTTTAAATTCCATAAAGATTTTAAATTAAAGAGACAAATGATGATGCATGCATCATGCTCTTCCTTAGAACGATGAACTAAAAAACTAAAAGGGTGTTTGAATGGAAATCAAACCATAATTTCAAAAGTGTTTTTACAGTTTACGAAATAATATATAAAAGAATTTGTCTCGTTTTACGAAAAAAAATTTTCAAAAGTGATTTTGAGAGTTGCCAAATACCCCCTAATTAGCTTACATATAATGTTTAATATGGAAAAAAAAAAAAAGGGAAACCTCAAGTGACTAAAATAGAGGTCCCTGGCGGTGAGGCATCAAATTGTCCAAATAAAATTAAAAGGAAAAATTTGCCCAAAGGGAACAGTTAGGGCTTTTCGTTCAAAACCGCACCGCGCGGCTTCTGACCTTCTAACGCTATCTTCTCCTTCTCTCGGCGTCGCCCGCTTCTCCGGCCCTTGCGGTGTTCAGCTCTCTGGTGACATTAAGAAATTGCTTAAGGAGGTATTGAGACTATTGATTATTGATTATTTTGCGATGATGTCATGTTTTTGGCACAGAACTCTGATGCTCTGTCAATTATAGATACGGAAGAGTCTTATCAGTATTTTTTCCGCTTTTTTTTGTCTTATTTTTCAAAGATAGAAAGAATTTGGGGTTGAGATAAAATGAGCGGAATTGAGAAAGGATCAACCACTACCAAGACCCCTGCAGATTTCCTGAAATCCATTCGTGGGCGTCCTGTTGTTGTAAAGTTGAATTCTGGCGTCGATTATCGAGGTAATTCTGGCCGAGCTGTTTCTAAGTATGCCCCTTAGGAGTTGTCTTTGAATGATATATATTAAACTGTTGTAGCTAATATTTTACTATATCATTTATTTCATGATAGAAGAGAAAAGTATAGTTTTCTGAAATGTGATTGATTATAATTTTGGAAAATGTGAAAATGACACTTAGGTTTAGTGACTTTTTATGTTGAAAATCACCTCTCATCATGTGAGCACATAGTACATATCACCTTGTTTTATCTTCCCGCTCTCACTATATGATGTATTTGAGAGCATCTTTTTCTTTTTGTATGTATCTACGCTTGATTTTTTTGAGATTGTTTTCTGCTTTGTTGCAAGGTGTGGTTTGTTTGACTTTAGTCAAAGGTGGAAGGTGCCACTAACGAATATATCTTGAATGGCTCAAACTGTATTTCCCTACATAAGACAAGTTTGTTGACTTTAAACATTTCCATACTGCTTCGCAATTTTTTTTACTATATGTTAAATCTTAATTTACTTTATAAGAACTTCAGCTATATCACCTAGTGACTCAGCAAACATCTCCATGCCTAGCCTTTGCTTGTTGCTTACTCTATTTTCTTTTAAGTTTTGTTTCCCTAGTTCTTTGATGCAGGCTCACTCTGAGAAACAGCTTGAGATCTTGCTTATGTAGAATTTTTTACCTTTTCATCACTGTTTACATCAAAATTATGTAAAGTTGCTTCATTGTTGGGTATTAAGTGGTTAATGTCTTCTATAGGGTTCATCTCGTTTTAGTAGCATATTTGATGTTGTTTTTGTATGCTCAATTGTTGCATGATCTTGTCTGTATAGTTTTAGCATTTTTTAGTAATAAAGTATTAGCTTGTTCCTACAAATAGTAGCTTTAGAATTTGCTACTAAAGAATGTGAAATTCATATTAAGTCAATGGAAGAGATAAATGGTTTTGTTATTGAGTATTGACAGTGCATCTAATCCTTGACTGCTATATTATTTTAATCAATTTATCCTGTACTTTTGGTTCAGTAGTTTGTAAATTTGTATTTGTATTCCATCCAAACCTACTTAAACTATTCTTGAACAAATTATAACAAGGAGTGTATTTTCTCTTAACTTTTCATGTGATCTATGACTTCTGTTTTTTCAATTTATTTGTCAAGAAAACTTGTTATCCACGTCCAACTCAGGTGAATTCATAAAGTGCACTAAGTTCATAATTGGCCCCAAGTATACTGAACTGAAAAACAAGTATACTTGTTATTATTTGTTTAAGAATGACTTGTTTAAGTTTGGATGAAGTTTAAATTCAAATTTATTGAGATAACCACGTAGTCAAGGTTTATACACTAACAATACTATGTTTATTTCTTCAATTTTACATTCTTTTGCTAAGATAAAGCCTGAAGCTTTACCAGAAAGAAAGAGCCAATATCTTATTATGAGATGCTAATAGTATAAGTACAAGATAGGACAACAGATGTGGATATAAAAATTGCATTGGAGATGAGGCAAAGAAGAACCCCACCCGAGAGTGTTGACTTTGATTTTACGGACGACATTAATCTTTTAATATCTAATAATAAAACAATGTTGCATTACTTTGATGTGAACAATGATGAAATAGTAAATTCTCCTAGCACAATATCTCATACTAGGGCCACATCAAAGAATAAGAGAAAAAATAATATAAATCATCAAATGAAGTTTTGAGCATGAATATGTCGAAGTATCAAAATCGCATGGTTGAAGCTTTTGTAAAGTATAGTGAATTTTTCAAAGTGTGTAATGGAAGTTGTAAAGAGTAGTATCAAAATCATCCCTTTTTCTGTGCAAGTAGAATTTTCACTGTAGCTAGAAACATGTCTATCTATTAGCTTGCAGAGGCCGTAATCTCCAAAGGAAGGAAATAGTTGAAAAATAGATGCTGGTTTATGGCTTTATAATATTCACTTTGTACAAAATATGACCATGGTATCTGACCAAAGGGAATTGGGTTGTGAAGTAAGGAAAAAGAGAGATCAGTTTATTGCTACTGTAATGAATTGTTCATTCATGTTCTTGATGGCTTTGCAATGCTGACTTGCTTGTGGCTTTATTGCTGATGCTTGCTTTATTTATCTACACTGTTTTGTTATGTTACGCTTCAAAATAGTCAAGGAGTGGCTTTCCCTCACAGAAAGTGGGGTTCGGTTCTTATGCCAGTGAAGTGTGAGTATTGATAAGCAAGACGTTCTATTATTTAGGTATATCTTTGTGCTAGGTGGATTTCTTGTTTAGTGTTGGTCCAAAAAAGAACATTGGCATGGCATGTGTGTTTTTATGTTGAACTGCTTTGCAATTGTTAAGTAGTGGCTTGACGCTATTTGATTATGTTCGCAGGTATTCTAGCTTGTCTAGATGGCTATATGAATATTGCCATGGAACAAACAGAAGAGTATGTCAATGGGCAACTGAAGAACAAATATGGTGATGCATTCATTAGAGGGAACAATGGTAGTGTCTAAAAGACGGTGTCCTTCCTTCATAATCAATTTGTGATTGCACCACTAACTAGATTTTCTCGTTTGGTTTGTGATGCAGTTCTGTACATCAGTACTTCAAAGAGGACCCTAGCCG